CAAAAAGATCAATAGAGATGAAAAATATAAAGTGTTAACAGCATTATCTCTGGAGAGCACAATCACAGGAATTTTATTTCACCTACACTATTATTTTCCAAAATTTCTAAAGTGAGCATAATTCTGTTGAATGTAGCAATTTTTTTTTGATACCACAGATGGAACTCATGACCTTGTGCTTGCCAGGTGGCCACTTATGCTACTAAACTAAATCCCAGGCTGCACACAGCAATTTTGACATATAACACTTCCTGATCTGCAGTCTCCTTCCAGTCCGTCACCCTAATACACAACAGGCAATGTTATCTTGAGAGATACAGCATATTCATTTAATTTTCGTTATTTAACTACTCTATTTTATTAGTAGTTGTATTTTGAGGATTTTGTTTTTTGAGACCAGGTCTCACTATGTAATCCAGGCTGGTGTCCCACTGGTGGCAATCTTCCTGCTTCAGCCTCCTGAGTGCTAGGATGGTAGGCATGCACCACCACACTCTGCACTTGGACTATAATTTGAGTGAAGGGTGTCAGAACAGCAGAGAGACAATAGATTTCCTATAGAAAAACAATGGTAAACAGGCAAATAGGGAAAAAAAAACCAGTGTAAAAATGACAACCTTTTCATCTAATCACAATTTTTTTTCCAAGCCTTAAAAAGTGCCTAGAACTCACTTTCTACTATTCCTCCAGTGTCCTTTGCCAGAACTCCTGACTTCAGAATTAAAAGCATCAGGTTAAAGAGGCTGTTCGGAACCTTGCCTCGCCGGTTCCAGGCCCTGTGTTTGATTCCAGTACCACCCCCACACACATACACATTACATGTTAAAAACAACAAGCACTCATTTACTACTTTCAGGTTTATTATTCTTCATCTATGAATCAAAAGTATTATCATAAACATGTAGTCCTTGAACCCTGAACTCATTATGTAGCCCAAACTGGCCTCTAACTCGATATCCTCCTCGCCTCTACCTCCCAGGTGCTGGGATTACAGGCGTGCAGTAACACATCTGGCTCCTAGAAGCAATTTTTATTAATACTTTTTTTTGAGGGGGTGGTTTCAGAGACAGTGTCTCACTGTGTAGTGGAGGATGGCCTGGAGTTCACTAGGTAGCCCAAGCAGACCTCGAACTCATGGAGATCCTCCTGCCTCACCCTCCCTAGAGCTGGGATTACAGACATGCACCATCATGCCCAACCAATACTTTTTCTTCAATAGCTGGGGAAATATACCATTAGAAGAATGGCAAAATACGACACAGAGTGAAGTACTTCCCCAACATTAAAAAGTTAACCATAAACACTCTCTGAATTCTATGGTTTTCCTTCCCTATCACCATCTTGTTCTAAATCCCCACCATCTACGTGTGAATTTCTGCAATAGTTCCAAAGTCCCTGTTTCTGCCCTTATGTGGCTGTGTATATTCCTAGTGCAGGATTAAAGAAACCATATTTAAACCAATCTGTTCATATCACTCCTCTGCTCAAAACCCCACAACAGATTCTCTTCTACTTCTGGAAAAAGCCAGTTCTAATATATATGACTCATCACATCCTCCCTCCTTTCTTTGCTTATTATCTCCTTCTGCTCTGTTCCCTTCATTTTCTGTGCTCCAGCCTCACTGGCCTTCTTGCTCTTCCTGCAACACCAACAGGCTCCCCCAGGCCTCTGCACTGCCATTCAGAACACAACTTGCTCTCATTTTCCCTTCAGTTCAGGTTCTGAAGTCCCCTACCCACCCTAGTATTTCAACAATCTCCTAAAAGGGTATTTCCTGGGTATTTCCTACCCAGGTTCTCAGCTCTATTTATCTTAACACTTTTCAGTAATACTTTACATATTTAATTATCTGTACACTGGTACTAGCTGTCTGTCTGACATCATTAGTTATCTGACATTAACCACTTGGACTTAGCACTGAACCCACCCACAGGGTAAGAGCTTAGGTTCACAACACTGACCTCAGTTCAAATGTCAATGACGGGTCCCATGTCAACCATGTTTCTGACCAACTAGTTACAAATTGGGGATTCCCACAACTCTTCCCAGTTTAATTACTTGCTAGAATGGCTCACAGAACTCAGAAAAACACTTATGTTTATCAGTCTACAATACATAACAGAAATGAACGCAAATGAAAAGGTACATCAGGCAAACTATAAAGGGATCTCTGGTACAAGGTTCCTGCCTCCAGCCACTGGCCATCCCAGCTCCATCTCCTTGTGTAGGAATTTCTAATGGAAGCTGGGCATGATGGTGCACACATCTGTAATCACATCACTAGGAGGCTAAGGCAGGAGCATCATGCTACATTCAAGGTCAGCCTGGACTACATAGTGAGTTCAAGGTTAGCCTGAACTACACAGAGACTCTGTCGCAAACAAACAAAAATGGAAAAAGTTTCTAACACAGCTGAAACGCCAGCCTTGCTTTTCCTCCTCTCATGGTATGAGAATGGACAAACACCCTCTAATCACTTGGTCTTTTTGTCCCTTGTCCCATTCTGAGGCTATTTAAAGTTTAAGTCATCTCATTTGCTTCAACACTGATGTGATCAACAAGAGATCATGAATTAGGAGTAATTCAAGTACCTATAACAATTTTAGAAACTCTGTGCCAGGAAGACCACAGAGACTAAAACACGATTTATTTTACCAGTCACCAACTAGAAAGTAAATTCCAGGCAGCATAAAAATTTTTCTGTGGGGCTGGGGATTTAGCTCAGCGGCATAAGCGCCTGCCTTGCAAGTGAGTTCGATCCCTGGTACCGATAAAAACGAAAAAGACAAAAAAAAAAAAAAAAGAATTTTTCTGTATTTTATCACTTTTTCAATTTTACTCAATATTGCATCCCAGGAAAACAGACCAATATTTAATAATAATATTTGAATGCTACACAAATATCTCAGTAACTGAATAAGCTAAATGGGCTCTTACTAAAAACCATGTCTTGTAATGTTTGACTTATTTAATTCTTATAATAACCATAAAAATTAATCACTATTATACTTTTGCTCAAATTTAAATATATTAAGAAGACTTTAAGACCTTTTTTTAGATGTTTTGTTTTTTTGAGACAAGGTGTTGCTGTCCAGGCTGGCCTTGAACTCACTCTGTAGCTCAGGCTGGCCTTGAACTCACTCTGTAATTCAGGCTGGCCCTGAACTCACTCTGTAGTTCAGGCTGGCCTCAAACTCCCAGCAATTCTGCTGCCTCAGCCTCTGAGTGTTAGGATTACAGGCATGTGCCATCACATCCTGCTTTTAAAATCTTTAAGAAGAGTTATCACCGAAAGATTCTCCCTTCTTGCTCTGGTACTCTTCTACCATGTTGTCAGACGTTGGCACCTTGGTAACAGACTTCCTAGCTTCCAAAACTGGGAAGCAATAAATTTCTGCACATTACCTAAATTGCTTAGGCTAAGGTATTCTGCTGCTGATACAGACTAAGATACTTCTCATTTAACAGAGGAAGACTGTAGGAATGCAGGTAAAATTAGTGGCATATCTAGGGTCACACAGCTGGCATAAGAAAGAATTCTAACCCAGGGAATAAAACTGAAAATTCCAGTTAAAAGGCACCTCATCACACAGGCCTTCTTCAACCCCTGATATACTGCTATATAAACAAAACAAACTATCAGATGATCTTTTTAAAATTATAAATACCTATGTTACTATAGAAGAGAAAAAGTATAAAATTTATGGTAAAATATGTGTCTTTGGGTAATGAAAGCCCAGTTAAGATTGCCAAGAGGACACAAACTCACTTTGCCATCGCTATCAATACCACAAAGCACTAACTCTCCACGCAGCTGAGAGAGAAAATTGGGCACTCTTGATGTGAACAGGCCATGTCACACTTTTTCTCAAACAAATGCCAAGACTCCTCAAGACACTATCATCTCAGTACACAGCACCTTCTCCTCTGTATGCCAGATGATCAAACCAGAAACATCTGTCTCTCATGAAACTGTCTCTTTTCATAATCATTGCCACGAAGAGTAGGGCAAGATTCCTTTCTTGGATTCTTGCAATACCATCCTTAATTAACAGTTCCACTCTTGCCCTCTCATATTCCACATGGGAAGAAGTCGGAGTGATCTAGTAAAAATTGAAAATCTTGCCTGTGATCCTAACTACTAGGGAAGCTGAGGCAGGAGGATCATTCAAGTCTGAGACTATTTGGGCTACACTGTAAGCTCAAGGCCAGCATGAACTGCACAGCAAGACCAGTTCTCCGTAACTAATGGGCTTAAAATGAAGCAGAAACGCAAACTCTCTTAAGGCTTCTTGCAAATCTAATGCCTGACACTGCTACCTTTAATCACTAATGTTCCAGCGAAATTAGTCTTTTTTGTTCCTCCAATCTATAAAACTCTTTGCTCCCCGAGGATTTTCTGACACCCTGCTCTAAGTCTAAGATAACTGCTCATTGTCACTTAGTTCTTACTCCTCTTTACTTCATTGAACTAACTAATAAAAGATTCTACATTTGCTTTGTTCACCCACTACCCAACAAACACAACGTTTTCTATTATCCAGTCATTACTCTACTAGCATCACAGAGTTCTAAACAAAGAAACACAACCATACTCTTAAAGTTAAGGGTGTCAATTTAAACAACAAAACTTAAAGGGTTTCAAAAAATACCTGTCTGCTAATTGTGAGCACTTTCAAGAAAAAATGAAATCTATCAAAATGGTACCACCCAAAAAGACTTTTGAAGTGAATTAAGAACAAAGCATTGTCACAAGTGATTATTCTTGGAAAAGGGTAATAGAGCGCTCCCAAAAATCATTTTTCCCTGCTTTTTTTTTTTTTTTTTTGCTTTACAAATGGAGATGAAGCTGAATCAAAATTCAAAATGCGGGAAGTTTACTAATCTTCATGTTATTTCAAACCAAAAAGAGAAAAACTTTTGGTAGTTATTCAAATTACAGAATATTCGGTTTAAAATTCTACTGAAAAGGAAAAGAGTCGGAAACAAAGAACATTACCTGCTCCCTCTGTAAACAAGGCACAGCCATAGCCCCAACCCCCACTCCGGAAATCGTGATTGGGACAATGCTCGACGGATTCTCGGGCAGAAATCTCACGCGATCAACCCGGTAGGCCACGGTCCCCATCACGCTTATATCACGCCTCCGCCCCCAAATGCTTCGTTGGCAGCTTTCAGGCCCCACTCTCAGCTCTATCCACTTTCACCCGCAGAACTCGCGTGGGATTATCACTTCCCTCTTCGGTTCGCTTCCGAAACACATTCTACGAAAGCAACTGGAAACCGGCCACGGGCCGGGCTCACCTGAGGCTGCACCGTACTCGACAGGGAAAACATGTCCTCCGGGCTTCAGCAACCCCTCTCGCCAGCCGAAACTGTCCTTCCGTCCTCGGCCCGGCAGGGAGGCGCTGTGCCCGTCCCTAAATCCTTTTTCTTCTTACCCAGCCCCTCTCCCTACCCAGCAACAAAAATGGCCGCCTCCCGCTACGGCTGCTACCACTGCAGGCTGCCCCGGAAGCCAACGCGCGGACGCAACATCACTTCCGGGGCACGGGCCAGCCGTGCGTCTGCAGGCGGCCCGGAGCTTTTGTGTTGGCAAGCAATGGGATCCCCAAGCCCCTCGGCTGTGTGTTTTCACTTTAAGGAAAGGGCTTCACCCTACTTCTCCTTTCTCAGACGTCCTCCAGCTTCCTTATCACATTCTCACCGTATTTCCTCGTCACAGCTGAGCCGCGAGCTAACAGCGTTTGGTTGCTACAATGTAGTGTACTCTTTTCCTCACGATAAATCGGAGGTTTCCCTGTAGGCCTTTGTCCGTTCACGTCAGGCGAATTCTATCCTGGAATATCACACTAGACTGGGTCAACGCGTCCTGCACGTCTAGCGTCTCCCTCTCCCGAGACTCGCACAGCAGCGGCCAAGCTTTGGGGGACAGCCCAGCTGACGCGGGCGTCTCGCGGGGCGGGGCTGGCAGCCGCCGGGGAGGGGGAACTTCCGGCCGGACGGATCCCGCAGTCGCGCAGCAATCGCATCATACAACCCGTGATTCGGGTCTCGGGGTCCCAGCTGCCCCACTCTTCTCCAACAACTGTCTGTGCCTCGTCCCTCATGACAAATGATGTCAGTGGGCCGTGGCGACCGCCCTCGAGAGGTCAGCGGCTTAGCCCGCACCTCGGCGCTCGCGGAATCGGCTGGCGCGGCTCTGGGGCGGCACGGGCGGGGCTGCCTTGGGTCGCGCGCGGCACCGCGGTGACGTCACTCTTGCGCGCGCAGTAGGCGTGGCCTAAATTTCAACGCAGTTGGCGGGAGCCGAGGCTGAGGGAGAGTCCAGGGCGCTGTCCTGCGATGGAGCCCTCCGCCGGGAGCAAGGAGTATACAGAAGGCACGGCGACCGGGGAGTGGATGAATACAATCCCGGTTCCAAGACCACCCTCCATTGAAGAATTCACCATAGTGAAGCCCATTAGTCGTGGTGCCTTCGGGAAAGTGTATCTGGGGCAGAAAGGCGACAAGTTGTACGCAGTCAAGGTAGGAAGTGTGGGAAGAGGCGAGAAAGGGAGTTAGGTCCTTCCGTCTTCTTTTCTGCCCCCTGATTTGGGGGCCGCAGGGCTTGCTGAAGCCTGCAGAGCCGACTGTTTGTTTTGGGCTGGCCGCAGCAGTCGGTGAGGTGTCTGGCCTCTGCCCTGCCTTTCTCTCCGTATCTTAGGAATCATCCACTGCCCAGGGAAAATAGCAACACCTGACCATATTCGCCCGGTCCAGTGTTAACGAAGGAGGAAACTGCGTGCAAAGGAACTTTTGAAGCCGCTGCTCTGATTCATGTCTAACCCACAGCAGAGTGATATTTCTGAATCCAAAAAGTTTTAAGTAGTTGGTGGTTGTCGCTTGCTTCGAAATACAGATTGCTGAAATTTTTCTATCACAGCAAAATGATTAGTTTGTCAGCACTGATTTCAAGTTTGACCTAACCAGGCGGGAACTTCATTATTTTCTGATAATTTGATTCCTAAAATTTTTAAACATTAGTATTATCTATTCATTTCATGTATCTTCCAGATGCTTTTTACGAATTTGACCTTTACCAGGCTTAAGTTTAGGATTTCCTTTAAGTTTGCAACACTCACTTGCTGGTTGCATTTAATTCTATCCATTTGTAATAGATCAATATTTAAGCTGCTGTACAACCAAAGATCTCATTAAACAAACCTCCTTTTTTCTCTTCATATTTTATATTGTGACATATGGAATGTGCTTTTATTTAAAGAGCAGGTGAAAATATGTTAATCTTTTCATCCTTGCAGCAGTGTATTTGAAGCTGTCTGTACACTCGTTCTCACTGACTTTCAAGCTTTCAGATTCTTTACATTTCACCACTAAATGAGGGCATAAAGGAAAGGAGACGCAAACAAGCCATGCAGTTTCAGCTTCCTATTGGACACTGCCAAGTGACTAGCACACACCTCCAAATTATACTTGCCTCAAACAGTCCTCTACACCTAACTTCCAAAGTCTGAACCTCCTGTATTCCTTATCTCCATTCAATAGCATCAACATTCTCCAGGTCCTGAAAGCTACAAAACTGAGTCATTTTAACTTTCTTCTGCTTCATATGTATCATCTGTATCTCTTTATTCCTAATTCTACCTCTTAGAGTCATTCTTTTCACTCTTCCCTTAGTATAGGCCTTTGTTTTTCCGTATGATTTGCCAGTGTACGTTTCAGTGACTTTTAGTAAATTAAATAGTTGTCTCTCACCACAATCCAATTTTAGATATTTCCATTTTCCAGAAAATGACCTCTTACACTTATTTGCAGTGCTTCCACCTTTAACACTTTAGCCTCAGGTGACCACTAACCAACTTTCTAAAGATTTGCCTTTTGTGGAAAGTTCAAGTAATGAAATGATACAACATGCAATTAGTGTTTTCACCTGCCACAATGCTTTTGCGATACATCAGATATTCATTTCAATACCTAGTATATTGGATTAACCCTACTGGAATCATTATCTTTCATCCATTCCTTGGGCTGTGACATTCAAGCTAAAGTTCACCTTTCTTAGAAAAGTAGTCATGTATCAAGTTCTGGCTCTAGGGTGGGGACATAGCTCAGTGGCACCGTGGCTGCCTGACAAGCACAATGTCCTAAGTTCAATTCCCAGTAACAAAGGAAAAAAAAGTTCTCAATCTAGATTTCTACTATATCTCCCACATACCTTGTGTTCAGGCAAAACTAAGTCCTCAGTGCTGTATATTTTCTTGCCTCTGAACTTATGTTTATGCTATTTCCTCTTAAATTCTTTTCCATTCTTCTGTCCTCTTTATCTTAGGTATTATATATCATTTTAGCTCCTCTTCAAATCTTCTGGGATCCATGCCATTAAAATAGGTACCTGCTTTATATTTCCTAAGATTGTTGCTTTTCCTTCTGTAGTGTGTAGTAATCATTATCAACTGCTGACATGAAAGCACCGATTAATTTGTTGATTAAATATTTTGGATCTGGGATATAGTGGTGAACAAAGCAAAGATGCCTTCACAGAGCTTCCACTCCAGTGGAATGGTCAGTGAAATCATGATACATCCTTTCACTGTCAGTTCATCTTAGTATTCTTAAGAAAGCATAACAAATTTATCATATACAAATATTAATACAATACTGAATGTCTTTTTTTCTTGTGATAGTATTAAGACTTGATCCCAGTGTCAGTGTTACTCAGTTTAGTTGAGTTCCAACTTTAATCTAGATTATAGTTATATTTTATAATCTACTTTAAGAATTTAATGACATTTGAAAATATAATCAGTTGTTTTCCATAACAGCAATTGAGACTAAACTTCCATAGTTTGAATCATTCAAGCTTACATGAGGCATATACCTTTCAACACTTTGATTTTACTTCTATCCATCAAAGAATCAGAAGTTCAGGGGCTGGGGATTTAGCTCAGTGGCATAAGCACCTGCTTTGCAAGTGCGAGGTCCTGAGTTCAACTCCTGGTACTAATTTTTAAAAAAAATCAGAAGTTCAAATATATACATATACATTGGTATTATATTATACTGCACCCAGGTTCCAGCTTATCTAAAGGGCTTATTAGGAATGTTAATATCGTTTAACTTTGTATTAAGAATAGCAGTACAGTTAACCACAAATGTGCAGTTCAGTTAGGAAACCCTCATTTCTTTTTTCCTTCTCAAAATGAATGTGATATTTTTGCTACTTAAGCAGTTCTCTTAACAGGTCATGCTTTTTTGTGTTTGTTTGGTTTTTTTTACCATCTCTTCCTATTTTTTCTGGCATAGTTTCCTGATGGCAACGTGAGAGCCAAATGATACCTCTGTGTTATCTCCATTGGGTTTACATGGTGGCCACTTTGAAACCTGAGAACACTAGTTAAAAACTTAAAGTCTCTGTTGTCATAATGTCTATTATAGGTTGTCAAAAAAGCAGACATGATCAATAAAAATATGACTCATCAGGTACAAGCTGAGAGAGATGCACTGGCACTAAGCAAAAGTCCTTTCATTGTCCATTTGTACTATTCGCTGCAGTCAGCAAGTAATGTCTACTTGGTGAGTAAAAATTCCACATTTTTTTATTCATTCATTCAGGAATCATTGAACCCAATAGTTCAAAAACACAATCTGCGTGGCAAGTGTGAGGTCATGAATTCAATCCCCAGTACCAAAAAAAACAATCTCTGGGGACAATGCACCTGCATTTGAATTCCAGGTCTGATACTGTATGATCTTTTCCAAAGTTATCTATTGTACTAATTAGACTTCTCTAGAGTAAAAGAATACTGTGTGTGTGTGTGTGTGTGTGTGTGTGTGTATGTGTGTATACAGGCAGACACAGAAAAAAATTCGTTTTAAGGAATCCGCTCATGAGACTATGGGTGCTAGCAAGTCTGAAATCTGCAAAGTAGGTTGGCAGAGGAGACCTAGAGGAGGGCTGATATGGTGTATTTTAGTGACAGTCTGAAGACAGAATTCCCTTGTCCTCTGAGGACTTTAGACTTTTAAAGACCTTCAACTGCTAAGTGTCATTGTACATACTTGTAATACCAGGATTCTGTCAGACTGAGGCAGGAGAATCAAAAGTTTGAGCCCAACCTGGTCAATTTAGTGACTTGATAAGATCCTGTCATAAAGTAAAAAATATTAAAAGACTGAGGATGTAGCTCAGTGCAAGGGTGGTAGCTTTAATCTTCAGACCTCTAAAAGGAAAAAGAAAAAACCTTCAGCTGGTTGAGGACTGCACACATTATGGAGGATAATCTGCTTTATTAGAGTCTACCAATTTAAATGTTACACTTCTAAAGAATACTTTAGGTGGATTATAAAAATTAGATCTGATCTAAAAACTTTTTCTGGTGCATGATGATATTTTTCAATAAATCTTCAAGTATATTTAGACTGGAATGGCTATGAAAAAATCTTTTGAGGGCAACGGTGAGCACTGGGTTTTTTTGTTTGGTTTTTTTTTTTTTTTTTTTTTTTTTTGGTTTGGTTTGGTTTTTGTTTTTTTGTTTTTGTTTTTTTTTTTTGGCATCTAGAATAATTCAGGAAAAATAAGCCTTTTAAAATATCAAGCCACAGCCTGGCAAACATGGGGTCCTGAGTTCAATTCCCAGTGACAAATAAATAAATAAAATATCAAGCCATAGTTTAAATAAATGCTAAAGTGTGATCATACTGTAAAAACTGAAATTTTCCCTATTTTTTCCTCTTATGGCAACTTCATCCTTCTTAATGACAGTATAGAATTCACCGATCATGGATTTTGTAATTTCTTTAATAGACAAATGATTTGTTTTACAGTTTTTAAAAATTATTGTTCTAAATAAAAAATATTTTATTGTTTAGTATGATGCTATATTTGGATATGATGGATTCCTTTATTAGAGATGAGACTTAGAAGTGAGGAAAAAGGATTTTGGAGTGAGAAATGAATTTGAATTGGCATTCACCTTGAAAGCAAAGTTAAAAGAGAACAGGAAACCCCTAGATTCTGAAAATAAATGAGATAGAGGTATACTTTTTCAGGTGATTCACCATGTGAGTCAAAAAATGTACACCATATTGACAGTAACAAAAAGAATACCAGTGCTGCCTTCAGCAGCACATACACTGCAGTCAGAAAAAGAATACCAAATTCTGTTAGAATAATTGACTTCCTATTTTTTTAAACCAGTGGTGACTAATCACTGTGGTCAATGGGCCAAATCCGGCTTTCAGGAGCTAAGAATTATTTTTAAAGGCTTAGAAAAAAGTATTGTTTTGTGATACTAGAAAGTTTGAATTTCACTGAGTAAAGTTTCATTGAACTTACCTACATCCTTTGTTTATACTTTATGGCTTTTTTTGAGATACAGTAACAGTAATTAGTTAATGCAAGCCCACAAAGCCAAAATGCTTACTATGTGGATCTCTACAGGATAAAAAGGGAACATTCTTGAATGTTATTTCCAAAGGACAGAGACAGTCATTTAATCGTTTTATTTTTCTGAGGCCCTCTAATGCCTTTACAGCTCCCTATAGCACATAACATGTAACACTCCCCCTGCCCCCCGCCAAAAGCCATGACGATGGCTGTAGCGTCAGCCTGAGTACAATTCCCAGTATGGATTAAAAAAAAAAAAAAAAGATTATATGGAACATGAGAACATGAGTGAACCTGGTATTAACAAGAAGATGTGTTTTATAGCCAGGAATGGTGGCACATGCCTATAATCCAAGCACTTGAGAGACTGAGGCAGAAGGATTATTGTGAGTTCAAGACCAGCCTTGATTACAGAGTGAGCTCAAGGCCAACCTGAACTGCACAGCGATACCAACTCAAAAAAAGACCATTACACAACTACACTGTAATGCCCAAATACTCTGTTTTTAAGTAAGCTTTTTTTTTTTTTTTGTACCAGGGATCAAACTCATGACCTTCCTTGTACTTGTGCTGCTGAGCTAAATCCCTGGCCCAGTAAGCATATTTTTTTTTTATGTTATTAAATTCTTTTTAATAGGTAATGGAATATCTTATTGGTGGAGATGTCAAGTCTCTTCTACATATATATGGTTATTTTGATGAAGAGATGGCTGTGAAGTATATTTCTGAAGTAGCGCTGGCTCTAGACTACCTTCATAGACATGGAATCATCCACAGGTGAAGACTCACTTTTCTCAAAACTATTACTTAAATGTAGAAATAATCAAATTATGTGATAAATGTTTGGATATCAAATATTTAATGTAACCATTTGCCCACATTTCCAGATTAAAGTTTAATAGTAACTTGTGTGAGTTTAGAAATTCTCTTAACTACTGTTTTGTCTCCCTATGCCATACTGTGTAGTCCTGACTGATTTACACTGCTTTGTTCTGTGCAAAAAAAGGTTAGGTTACTCTGCTCTGTTAAAGCTTAATCTTACATTAACAGAAAAGAAATAAACATTTTGAACTTGTGGATTATTTTATTTAATGTGATTTATTTATTTTAATGGAAAATCTAACAATGTCACAGATAATCTAAAATCATTTAACATTTTGTGGATTCAGATGTACCAAATAGCTGCTTTTCAAAGGTGTTCTGTTCTTTGCAAAGCCACTAATAAACACATTTATTTTAGAAGAAATAAATAGTATCTGCCTGTTCTATAACTCTTTTTTTTTTCTTAGATATTTTAACATTAAAACTAGATTTTCAGCCAGGTATGGGGTGCACACATATAATTCCAGCACTTGGGAGGTTGAAACAGGAGGATCCTTGCAAGTTCAAGGCCAGCCTGAACTGCAGAGTGAGACCCTGTCTAAAAAAAAGAAACAAAAACTAAATTTTCACTGGGCACAGTGGTGCATGCTTGTAATCTGAGCCCTCATGAGGCAGAGGCAGGAAGATTGCTGTGAGTTCAAGACCAGCCTAGGCTACACAGTAAGCTTAAGGCCAGCCTGAACTACATAGCAAGATTACAAAAAAAAAAATTTAAAAAGTAAAACTAATCTTTTCTTTAGTTATCTGTTTGCCTTTTGTTTTATGTGCAGGGATTTGAAACCAGACAATATGCTGATTACTAATGAGGGTCATATTAAACTGACAGATTTTGGTCTTTCCAAAGTGACTTTGAATAGAGGTAAGAAAAATAGCAAATATGTACCTTTTTTAATGGTCCCACAACAACGAACAATAGCAAGAAAAAAATCAAAATTTTAGAGACTACATTTCACTAACTTACATTGGTTTCTTTGTTTATACTAAATGAAATTCAATATTTATTTGTAGACTATATGTGTGTCATTTTCCATTAAAAGTGAAAAATACTGTCTTACATGCTCAGTATTACATGTTTAGCATCCATGAAACCTTGAGTTCAATTCTTAGCTCAGATAGATAGATAGATAGATAATCAAAAATGGAATGGCCACTATTGTATCTTCAAAGATCATTGAAAATCCTCAGCTTTTCAAAAAGAAACTTACAATTTCTGTTCTTCTGACCTTTCTCAGTACTGAAACTGGTTCTTATCAACAAAGCAACAGTAAATTACTAAAATAAATATAATATGAAGGTTCAATATCTAACAATTTATCAAATAAAATGGCTACCACTGAGACCTTAATAAAAGAGCAAAGATAAACACAATTGATATATATCAATATATGGAAATATGGTCATTTTACTAGTAATAATTAAAACAATGCAAATATAAAAATGAATCATTTTATAATAGTAAGCACTATCAAAAAGGAATAATGATGACCCAATTAATGAACCTACCTTTAAAAAAGCCAAATTGCGGGGCTGGGGATTTAGCTCAGCGGCATAAGCACCTGCCTTGCAAGCAGGTGGTTGTGAGTTCGATCCCCGGTACTGATAAAAAGATAAAAAAAAAAAAAGCCAAATTGCAGTGTCCAAGTGCATTGTAAATTAGCATAGTGCTTTCTAAAGCAAATTTGCTAATGTGTTTTAAAAACAAAAGGTTTTAGGACTAGGGATATAGCTCAGTGGCAAAGCATCTGCCTGGCAAGTGCAAGGTTGTGAGTTCAATCCCTAGTACTGTTTTTAAAAAAAAAAAAGGTTTTAATTCTCTTGGCTCTTACATTTTGGAATTTAAGAAAGCAGTTCAAAAGGCTGGGGATGTGGCCCAGTGGATATAGAGTGCTTGCCTAACATGTAATCCCCAGCACTGGGGGAAAAAATGGGGGTTCAAGAGCACACAATATACAGGAATACAGTGATTTTTTTTTAGGAAAATTATATTTAATAGGTGGAAACTAAATTACCTAAATTCATCATAGAAACGTGGATTAATGATGGATTTACAACTTGGAAACAAACGGTACAATATTCTGTACTAAGAAGCGTGTAAGAGTATAGCTGGAGTATAGCTCACTGGGACAGCACTGGTCTAGCATGCATGACACCCTGGGTTTGATCTTCAGCACAGAAAAAAAGAAAATATGGTAGAAAGATAGAAAAGCAGGGGTTTTTTTGGTTTTGGTTTTGGTTTTTTTGTACCAGGGGTCAAACTTATGACCTCACACTTGCCAGGTAGGTGCGTGGCCACTGAGCTATCTCCCCAACACTATTTTTTTTAAATAAAGTTAACCATATAAATTACAAACCCTAGCATTAAAGATATTTGAAACTTTATGTAGATCGATGATTCTTTATTTGGAAGTACAAGATTCAAACAGTTGTGAATACTTAAAGGTTTTCAAATCTGACCTGAGCTGATACAGGGATATCTGTAGTCTGTCTTCATCTCACTTCATGTGGCTATTTATTCATTTTGCTGCAGAAACAGTATTTGATTGCCAATACTGTAAGAGACATCATTAAGGGAGCGCTATATCACACCATATATTTGCCGCATTTGTTTTCTTAAGTTACTGAAAAATACCACAAATTGGGAAGAATCTATTAAAGTGATACTGATGAATTTAAAAACTTGTAACATAAAGGCCTAATTTTTAGTTTTATTTACAAAATGTCCTGTAAGATTATTACTGTTTTATTCTTATTGTTTCATCAAAGTGAGATATAAATGAAGTTTGTTACATTCAAACTTTGACCTTTTTAAAGTCCATACAGACCATTAGACATCTCTTGCCATGTTTGGTATCCAAGTAAAACAGTATAGTATTAGGTATTAGTGTTGAATTATTTGAAAGTATTATACAGTAAAACATGCTAATAATATGAGTCAATTTCTATGTTAATCCAGCCTTAAACATATTAACATGAAAAGCTGAAATTTACAGTATTCCTTTCCAACTTCTTAATAATTGATTTACCAAAAATCTTGCTAGTTGGAAAGAATTTATTTTTAGTGACTGAGTAGTCTCTAAAAATCTAATGAGATACTGGGTCATTTCATTGTGATCTATTCATTTCAGATTAAGATTATGTTCTATCAAACTTTTTAATGATTTCAAATAATTGTGAATGTTTCCCCTATGGTACAGTGGATTTGCTGCATATATTTCTCCTATACGAGCCAGTTTTACAGATAAGGTTAATAATGCAGAGAGAGGGTCAAAGTTCAGAACAAATGATTTTTGACCAGGTGACACTTGAAAGCTTTTTAAACATTCATATACTTTCCTTTGCACACATAGATATCAATATGATGGATATTCTTACAACACCATCTATGGCCAAACCTAAGCAAGATTATTCAAGAACCCCAGGACAATTATTATCGCTCATCAGTTCTTTGGGATTCGTAAGTTCTTGATAAGACAACACTCATGATGTTCCTTTTCACAACTATCCCTTTAAATTTAGAGTCTCCTTTAAAAAAATACAAGTCAATGTAAATGACACCCATAAGGTGGTGTTTTATTGACAGTTTGTCAATCTAGGTGGTATGACAGCTTATATATACTTAGCTGGTATTTTTGTGACATTAAATCTTTTAGCATTTGGTTTTTTTTCTTCCTCTCATTAATAGTTCACACCACTTGCAGAAAAACACCAAGACTCTGAAAACATCCTTTCAACCCTATCAGAAACACCACAGCTTTCTCAAGGATTAATTTGTCCCATGTCTATAGATCAAAAGGAGACTACACCTTATTCTAGCAAACTACTAAAATCATGTGAGTATTGCATCCCTTAGAAAAAAAATTTTTTTCAAATGTTAAAATATCTAATATCAACTCAATATTTTCTTTTTTTATTTAAAAAAAATTTCAAAACACGATAATTAGGGAGTAACAAATGTTAATACATTGTGTATTGTTATTCTTAAATTAGTTACTCGGAGTACAAGATATTTGCATTTAACTGTCCAAACAATATTAGCACAAACCATTCCCAACTTAATATTTTAAAAATGCAAATATTGGGCCAAGAACATAGCACAATGGTCCAGCACCTGCCTGGCAAGTGTGAGGTCATGAGTTTGATCCCTATTACAAAAAAAAATACAAACTATTTCAACCATTTATTGCATTGTTATGTTTCATTATGTAAATGCCATTTCTGACCAGGTTGGTGGCAGATTTGTAAATCATTAAAATGTCTAGCTAATATGATAACCTGTAAGATTAGGGTGGTCATTGGTTATTTTCCCTATATTGAGCCTGTGGAAATCTTACACAGTATAATCAAGTTCCCACAGTGTTATGGGTCTGTATAAACCTATTTCCAAAAGATTTTATGGTAGCTTAAATTTAAAGACTAAGATATATTTGCGTTCAATAAAAGACATAGCAAGGCATAGAAGAGATTAGAACAAACAATGAATCTGACAAGAGAGAATAGGGACAGATGCTAACTAGAATGTTTCTATGATGGCCAAACCGTATCCAGAAAGAGAAGCAAGAACTTTACTGCTTCCATTTAGCAAAAGGGGGCATCTCACACATAGACACGAGCATATCCACTAGCATGGACATATTCTGTGATATGTGAGAATGAGAAGTATGTGCAGTAGGAAAGGAAGTTTGGCTAAGTATATTGGGAAGGCTCAAGTGTCATTACAGAGATACACAGCTCATAGAAAATGAGCTATCAGAAGTTCCAAAGTAGAAATGGTCTGATCACAAACAATCATTAAGGATGGGCTAGGGATTTAGCTCAGTGGCATAAACACTTGCCTGCAAGCGCAAAGTCATGAGTTCAATCCCTGGTACCAAAAAAAAATCATTAACAGATAGCTCATTAGCAAATATTCGGTATGCACATGGCATTTGGTTAAGCATAAGTTTCCATGTTACTGGCAGAAAGCAGCTAAGCAGCTTGCTCATGACATCAAAGTCAGTATCCAGGGAGTTTCCAGAATTCCACTGAGAGAATTTGTGCAGTGAAAAGAAAATTGGATTATGTGGACTTTGAAATGCTCCTTTCACCTTTAAAGTTCTTGGACTTCTTAGGTCAGAAATCTGTAAAACAAAGAATTTTCTTGAGATTGCCCCTCTGGTCTCAGATTTTGCCAGAGAGATATCAAGTACACCAAGAACAATTTGGAGTTGTCGACGAGGACTTGTTAAAAAATGTTTTCAAGGCTAACTGACAACTCTGATATTTAGAAATAGATAAGAATATGTGAACACTTAGGTTTCCTTTTCAAAAAAAAAAGAATTTCCTTGAGATTGAGATCATGTTCAGTCTTTGGGGAAAAGAAAACAAGACATAGGTATCTGTTCATATGTGTATAAAATCTTTGCATACATTACATACATTACTGTAACTTGAGCAACAGCACAATTGTCAGCCCAGTGTGATAGCATGTGCCTCTGCTCTCGGCTACTTGGGAGGTTGAGGCAGGAGGACAGTAATTTCAAAGTCCATTTGGGCAATTTAAGAGACTTTATCTGAGAATTTGAAAAATTAAAAGGGTACACGAGGTCGTGAGTTTGATCCCTGGCACAAAAAAGAAAAAAGGGACTAGGGCTGTAGCTCAGTACTTCCTAAGTTCAATTCCTGATACCACTACAAACAAAGGACACAGTTGTCGAGCAACAATTTTTAGCAATTTTTATATGTGATAAAGGAGCAAGTAATATGTAGATGGTGCTCCTTGTTAGCAATTGTATGACCACTTATTTGCTTTATCTAGTTCTGTTAAGAAAATTCTTTGTGTGGGGAATAGAATGTGTGTCGATGGTAGAGCACTTGCCTAGCACGCTGAAGGCTCCAGGTTTGATCCTTGGCACTGCAAAACAAAACCAAAAAAAAAAAAAAAAGGATGCAGGGGAAGCTAAGTCACTGTAGATGTCTATAATCCATTCTTGTGAGCACATAAATTGCTGCATTACAATAAAACTATGGTTTTATTTAGAAACAAGTTGAAATGAATAAATTTAGTTACATTCTAACCTTACTTTACATATGGATAGAGCATATCAGTAATTCTTTATCTAGAATAGTTTCATGTTGGATTAGAAATAACTCAAAATTATCCCTTCTAATCATTGTATAAATAAATTCTCTTTCCTAGTTTTTAACTAAATATATTAAGAAAATTTTCTTTTTTTTTTGAGAATTTCTTTTTGCTCTAAACTCTAGAGCAGTATTTGTATTTTTAACAATTTGTAAATCTATATATGAGAATCACAGCAAAAATTCTTGCCGCCATATTGTGGAGGACAGTATTTCACAGAAGTAGTTTTGAAATGTGATAAATAATCTGTAAATGTTCAGGTTCACTAAAGAACTACAAAAGATGTGGCAGAGCTTTGATACTTTCTCCCCTCCCCAGGTCTTGAAACACTTGCTTCCAACCCGGGAATGCCCGTGAAATGTCTGACTTCTAATCTACTCCAGTCTAGGAAACGGCTGGCTACTTCTAGCACCAGCAGTCAGTCCCACACCTTCGTGTCCAGTGTGGAGTCAGAATGCCACAGCAGCCCCAGATGGGAAAAGCACTGCCAGGTTAGCTAGAGAGTTATTTTAACCAAACCAACTCTGTGTGCCAAATTCATGGCAAAAACACCATTCCTTTTAATATAAATCCCATAAGAAAATCAAATTGTGACATGAATAGCAGCCAAAGTATTACCAGAAATGCTTTTCTTCCCAGAGATGCTGTCAAGATTCTTTTGAAATACTTCATTTCTCATTCAATTGTGAAGTTTCCCTTGCTTGATATATAATGATTAAGTTACTATAGTAAACTGATAATAAAATTTGACTTAATTTGCTACTGTAACAGTCATTAGCTTGTTTAGTTTTTATCCCTACATCCTCCTATGATGTTTCTCACCTAATAGACTAGTAACTTTTCAGGAACAGTTTTTAAGTCACAAAGGTGATATAGTATGGGTGTTCTCTCAAAAGTGTCTATTTTAATGGAAACAAAGGCTCTGTGCCAGATGTGGTGGTACATGCCTGTAATCCTAGCTCTGACAGGCTGAGGCAAGAGGATCATCCTGGATTTGAAGCCAACCTGGGCTACATAGCAAGACTTTGTCTCAAAGAACAAAAAACAAAAACAAAGGTTTTATAAATAAGGAGGGGAAGGAGGATTGAAAGGAACCTCAGGAGGGGAATGGGGAAGAAAAAGAAGGAAGATATATCATGTACAGTTACGAATTTCCTATGATGAATGTTATCATATGTGTATCTGAAAGGTATCAATAAAATTAAAAAACACCCAAAAAAAAATCTGTTCAAAAAGAATGTTTTTTCTGTAGCAATTGCTTACCAAATTAATTGATTTACTTATAACTTGTACTTTTTTTTTTTTTTTTTTTTTGAGGCAAGATCTCATAGTGTCATTCGGGTTGGCCTTGAACTCAGTGATCCTACTGCCTCAGCCTCCAAAGTGCTTTACTTTTTGTATTGTGTTTTCCTTTTTTAAAAGTTAAATGAAGACTAACAGATACTAAAGGTAATAGGAAGTACAATGTAAAATAAGGTTTTCATAAAATGCTGATTAAATGTTGAATTAGAATAAACCTATTTGATAAAATTATTTGGATTATATTTACTGCTTATTCTCAGTAATCTGATTTTCTTCCTTGTTGAAGGATGTATTTTATGAACAGGGTCAAATTAATTTAGTTATAGCATAATGCCTGAGTATTTTTTTTCTTCTTTATAGGCTGTGCTAAAGATACTATGCTACAGAATGAACAGATTTTCTGTTGCCAATACTATTATTTTACCTCTTGTATTGTAGGACTATTCTGAACTATACAACCCTTACCTTCTTCCATTTCTGAAGCTCTTAAGGAATGCAATAATTCAATTATACTATAGCTTCCAAAGTTATGATCAAAAAGTGATAGTGTACCATGAGTGACACTTAGCTAACCTTGTTCTGATCCTCAGATTCATTGTTTTTTGGTACTTGCAAATCAGGGAGATATAATTCAGCACATTTTTTTATTTTTGTTTTGTTCTCATAAACAAGTGTTCCTTCGTATTACTAAATAAGATTTTAAAGTTTGATACTTATACATTAAAAATAGCTACTTTTAGCTACCATTGATTCACTTTGAGTAATTTTCAACAAATTCTGGTCATCCTGCACCAATTTGCAATGTATAAGTAAACAGGAGCTTCTTTAAGAACACATGAGCACCCAGAGAAAGTTGGCATTTGGTTTTCAAGAAAAGTATTTCATTATAATTTCTGCTAATTTTGGCTTTATTGTATGAAGTGGTGCACATTTACTATAACAATGTTTTTGCTGTATAGTTTTTTACTAGATTTCATACCCTCTGCATTCTGCAATTCAAAACAGATACATTCATATTTCCATTGAAGAACAAATGTGTGTATAATGTAGCTTTAACCTCAATCATATTGCTTAAGTTTTCCTGTTTAATATCATGTATAAAAATATTAGTGGATAATTAATTTAAATTGTAGGCCAATAAGCAGGGTTGGTGGCACACGCCTGTAATCCCAGCACTTGAGAGGCTGAGGTGGAGGATCATTGCAATTTCGAGACCAGCCTGAGCTACAAAGTGAGCTCCAGGCCAGCCTGAACTCTGAATAGCAAGACCTAGTCTCAAAAAGACAATTAATTAATTAATTGTAGACCAGTGTTTCATACAGAAGAATGTAAGTTTATATTGTTTTTTAATTCTCTATTGTTGTTTTGCTCCATTTGGAAGTGAGAATAGGGAGAATAATAATTTATGGGATTACTTATCCTACCTAGGTGGACAAAGCTTTATATGAGCTAAGCAGTATTTTTTTTCTCCTCATTAGGAAAGTGATGAAGCTTTGGGCTCTACAATGATGAGCTGGAATGCAGTGGAAAAGCTATGTCCAAAATCTGCAAATGACATCAGTATCAAAAGTTTCCATAAAAAGGATCTTGAGTTGGCCTTTTCTCCGATTCATAACAACAGTGCCATTCCTGCCACTGGAGGATCTTGTGTAAACATTGCTAAAAAATGCTCCTCTGCAGAAGTTTCTTGGGAAGCAAGAGAACTTGATGTAAATAACGGGAATACGGGCCCTGACACAGGACAGTCTACTTCCCGGCAGTCAAATCAGTGGACTGTAAATTCTACGAGTGCATCTGAAGAGCCTCTTGGGAAAAGAAGTTTAAAAAGAAATTTTGAATTTTTGGATTCTAGTCCCTGTCAGGAAATTATACAAAATAAAAAAAGTTGTGTAGAGAATAAGCATAGTAAAAAGATGATAGATTGTCATACAAATCGAAGTACAGGCTTAACAGCTAAAGTCCATGGTCTTAAGTCATCAGTATATAGATGTCAGCAAAACGACTGTGCTAATAAGGAGAATGTTGCCCATTATTTTACTGATAAAGAAACACCAAAAAATTCTGTACCTGTAATAGCAAAAAATCTCATGTGCGAACTAGATGAAGATTGTGAGAAGACTAATAAGGAGTACTTAGATTCTAATTTTTTATATTGTGATGATGATAGAGTTCCTAGAAGTATTTGTATGGATTCAGATTCCTCCTTTCCTGGGATTTCTATAATGGAAAGTTCATTAGAAAGGCAGTCCTTAGATCCAGATAGAAGCATTAAAGAATCCTCTTTTGAAGAATCAAATATTGAAGATCTCCTTACTGTATCACCAAATTGCCAAGAAAATACCATGCCAAAAATTGTTGAGAACCCTACTATCCAAGAGAGTAACCAAAAAATGTTAGCTGCTTCTTCAGAGGTCTTGAAAACATTAACCCTCTGTAAAAGAAATGCTGTCGCTTTTCGAAGTTTTAACAGTCATATTAATACATCGAATAACTCGGTACCATCCAAAATGAGCATTACTTCTTTAGATACAATGGATATTTCATGTGCATCTAGTGGTTCGTATCCCATGGCTATAACTCCTACTCAGAAAGGAAGATCCTCTATGCCGTATCAGGTATATTCTCTTTTTAACACTTTGTTCTTTGGATATGGAAAAATAAAATATTAAGACAGATACTTGGCCAGTGTGATGCCCTATATCTATAATCCCAGTACTCTGCCAGGTTGAGACAGGATTGTGAGTTCAAGCTCAGCCTGGGCAACTTATTGACTAAAGACACAGTCTCACAAAAAAAAGGCTAGAAATGTAGCTCAGCATGAAAGTCCTGGCTGGGTTCAATCCCAAGTGAGTGTTTAGGGAAGGAGTGAATATAATGCACTCACCTCTCAGTTGGACTGACAGTATTAATTACATAATTTTGTTCTTCAGACTAGATTGTAAGTTTATTTTGCTTCATAACAGTAACTTTTATTTGTATACCTCTGTATACTCTTTTCTAAGAAAACACAATCACATATTTTCACAGCAATGCTACAAGATACCAAATTAAAGCCTGCCCTATCTGTTTTCCAGGGACATATTTGGAGAATCTCCTTTCCTTACAGAAAAACGTTGTGGTTTTTAAAATTTTTTTCTCAGCTTTTATAAACCAAAAATTTTACTTTTTTCTTTCTTTGGAGAAGCATCATAATATAAAAAGTATAAACTCTAAACATGGATTATGAGACTTTGGTTTTCTATACTAGATCTTAACCAAAAGGCTGAGAAGGAATGAGACTTGAGTTTTCTAAACAGAACTTCCTTTAAGGGATTAGAAATTCCTTAACTCAGAACCTGGTTTCTTTAAATGTCGGACAGAATAAAATGTTAGGCAACAGTAACCTTAAAAATGCTTTGAATCCCATTTAGTGCAAGAGATTATTTATGTTATCTTATATATTGTACTAATTTATTATTTGTTAATTTATTATAGGCTTTTTCAGTGACTTTTAAGTTGTGTTAAGCCACCTATCAAGAAATTTTTGTGTATTTTTTCATTATTTGTTGTAAATCGAGATCTTAGTGATTGATTGATTATTTTTGTCTTTTTGAGACAAGAGTCTCACTATGCCACTATGCATTTCAGGCTGGCCTTGAGTTCACTTTGTAGCCCAGGCTGGTTTCAAACAGTCCTCCTGCCTCAGCCTCTGAATTCTGGGATTACAAGGATATGCCACCACGCCTAGCTTAGTGAAATAATTATTAAACAACTAAACATACATGTAAGAATTTTTTGATAATTATAACATGAGTCCATTTTCAAATCCTTGATCAAGGGTTTAAGTAGTGTATCTTTTATGCCTAGCTGCCTATGATCTAGCAGTTTTGTTTCAATAATTCATTTTCCCTGTAAAAGGAATGCAGATCTTCTGTCCTTAAACTCTTTTTGAATTAGCAGACCCCAAAGCAGATCAGGTCTGGAACTTCATACCGAACTCCAAAGAGTGTGAGAAGAGGGGCAGCGCCAGCAGATGACGGGCGCATCCTAGGAACCCCAGACTACCTCGCACCTGAGCTGTTACTGAGCACAGCCCATGGTAAGCGGTGCCCGTCTTGGACTTTGAACAGCTACTGTCAGTGCACTGTCCTTTAAAGTAAAATTGTTTTGAGTTTCTTTAGTACTTAGATTATCTGAAGTATGAGAAAGTGGACATACAAAATACTCTTTTCTCAGTTATACTGTAGGAAAAGAAAAAAGAGCTAGCTTTCATTCTCTGCATTTGGGTGAGACCAAACACTGAACGCTGTGCAGCTGTTTATCTTTCGCCTCCAGTAGTTTTGTTTTCTCTGGTTTGGTCACAGTGATCTGCATCCCACCCACTGTATCATTCATTCTAAACATTCTTCACGACTGGCCTACAGTGCTCGTGACTACATGGTAGACCTCACTTTTGTTCATTCTGCAAATCCTATTCCAGTTTATAATGCACCGAACAGCCAAACCAGGAATGAATCATCCTTCAGGATGGTACATCCACCTTCTTTTCCTTTCTCTCTCATAAGGATTTTCCTATGTTAAGCAAACTTCACCCATTCTCATACTGCTTTAGCAAAGTACCACAGCTGAGTGGGTCAATGCAATAAAAATGTCTTGTCGGGACTGGAGGCCAGCAGTGTGGAGTCAAGGTGTGCTTCCCTCTGTCCTCCTGTCTCCTGGTGGTCTGCTGGCATCTCTGGATTTCTCGACTTACAGATGCATCATTTCAACTCTGCCTGTTTACATGGTTTTTCCTTGTGTGTCTATCATTTGGCTTTTTATAAAGATAGAAGTTGTGTTGAGTAGCACCCTGCCCTAATCCAATTTAACTTCATATTAACCTAATTAATCTGCAAGCACTCTGTTTCCGAGTAAGGTCATTCTGAGGTAGTGAGTGTTATGCTTAAACAGGCTTTTTTCAGGGGCACAAATCAATCCGCGACATCAATTCCTTCTACGTTTTTGTTTTTGCAGTACTGAGGACTGAACCCAGGAGCAGCTGAGATACAGCCCAATAGTTTTTTGTTTTTTGAGACTCTCACGCAGGAGCCCTGGCAGGCCTCAAACTTGTAATCCTCTTGCTTCAGCCTCCTGAGTAGGTGAGATCACAGGCATGTGCCCCTGTGCCCACCTCCTACATCTTGATGCTTACTTTCTTTTTTCTATTAGGTTCTTTGTTGATCATCTGTTTCATCCCTCCCATTACAACCCTCACACCCCTTCTATTTTTCTTTGTGGATTTTATCTCCATCCTGAAAGCAAATTTCCACTTCTGTCTTCCCTTTATTCCCTAACAACTCAAAGGTTGCCTCTTTTCTTCCCCTGATTATTTTTGTTCTGGCAATATGATTTTATCTTGACTAGTTGACTAAAACTTGCTAGTCACCAGAGTTACTATTGTCAGATCTCAGTTTCTTCTCAGTCTCACTCCTCTGACCTCTATTGATATTCTTCAGGTACTTCGTTCTGTCTTCCAAGTATAATCCTCCCTTTTTATCAGTGGGAGTTTGATGCCCTAAGACAGAAAAATTCCAGGGTGCTCAGGTTTCATATAAAAATGGCACAGTATTTCCATATAATCTATACATAGCCTCCCACATGCTTTAAAGCACCTCTGTATTAGTTATAGCATCTCATGCAAAGTAAATAAATAGTTGTTATATGTTTAGGGAACAGTAATAAGAAAGGAGGCTGTTAAACCAATGAAATTTTTTCAAATATTTTCTATCTGTTTGGTTGAATTTGTGGATGTGCAGCCTGATGAATACAGAGGGGTAAAAAGAAGTTCTTCACAATTCTGCCCTGTGCGTTTTTTCACTACACATATTATTCCCTCTTAATCACACATCATTCCCATCAAGATTCCAAATCCATCTCTACCCTGACTTTCCAGGCAACAGACACACAGCTAAACTGCTTCCTGCTAATTCTGCCAGTCTTTCAAATGTTCCAAGAAAAAACTGGACTTGTTATCTAGCTTGCTTTGTTTTGTTCCATATCTGTTCCATCATCTTCATGGTGACAGGCATCAGCCCTACATTCAGACATTTAAATCCAGTTAATTAGATCCCTGACGTATTTTTCACGTCTGCTACTGTTCTCTATAACAAGTTTGTCTTTCTCTTTCATTATGTAATGGCCTTCTATCTGGTCTCCTCAGTGTCATTCTGTTGTCTGTAATGGTTACCACCAGATTTTCTCTCTGAACCAAAATATAATTTTTTTCTATTTCTATCCTTGGAAGACTATGGTGCCTCCCTCCTAGCTGCTAAATAAAATCCTAATTATTGGACATGACATTTGAGGTTCTGAGTTCTCATATTAACCTCGGCTTTCAACAAATCTAAACTGTTACATGTCCTGTGTTCACCCTTCTTTTTCTTTTTTTTCCTTCCTTTTTTCTCTTTAATGATGCTAAATATTGAACTCCTGACCTTCCCATTGATCTAAATTCCCCCAACCATTTTTTTATTTTTGTTTTGAGGCAGGGTCTTGCCAAGTTGCCCAGGCAGAACTTCAACCTGTGACCCTCCGGCTTCAGCCCCAGTGAAGGGATTACTTACGAAGGTGTCCAGTTCCCATTCTATTTCTTTTTTTAAAATTTTATATTAAAGAGGGTAAAATTAAACAGATCATAAGAAATCAATGTAAGGCACACAGATTTCAAAGCAAGACAACTGCAAATTTATCACATTGTCTCTTGTTTTCTTCCACATAGTTTTCCATATCTTCACATATAATGAATTCATACAAAACAAAATAGTATAAAACTGATGAAGGCATTTTAGGTCTTCAAGACCAGACAATAGGGAAGTCAACAATGACTGCCATAATGTCTCTCATTCTCTTTAGAATAGCTGTCCATATCTTCATGTATGTTTAAATTAAAACAGACTAAAATCACTCCGTACAAAGAATAATAGTATTGCTGGATTTCACTTCATGGGGCTACAGAATCAGCACTGGATACTTAGTGTCTCTTTTTCTTTTAAGTATCTGTTCATTTCATTGTGCATTATATAATTGATTGTCATAAACTGTTTAGAAGTTCTACATATGCATGAGTCTCTACATGCATACCCACTCTCTGTAGTAGAGGGAAAAGCAAAACAAGAAAAAACAAAACAAATTCCTAGAAAAACACGATACAAAAAAGACATAAAAAATAGCAAAGAGCCCAGAACATTAACAATATAGGCCTTTAAAACAAGGTAGTATGAGCCTAACTAGAGTTATTTTACATAATGATCTTCAAGAGTTCCTCAGATCACCAATAATACGCACAATTGTTCCAGTCGTATGAGTGTTAACTATTTTGTTCCAAGAACTTATAGAATTTGTAGCACAATCATCTTAGCTATACTGTTTATATACTTTTATATTTTTTCTTTTCCCTTCCTTTGCTTTTCCATTTTCCCTGACATATATTCTTTCCCCTTTAAGCAGATTCTTGTCCTTTCACTGTATGTATTGAGTTTTTTGTATCTTATGGACTCTTACTATTTCTTACACTAGGGACACTATGGTATTTATACATGTGAGTTTGGCTTATTTCACTTATGCGTATGGTCTCGAGTTGCATCCATCTACTTATGAATACCTCAATGTGATCATTTTTTATAGCACAGTAGTACTCCATTGTATAAAAATACTACATCTTTTTTATCCATTCCTCAGTTGAAGGGCATTTAGGTTGTTTCCAAGATCTGGCTATTATAAATTGTGCTGCTATAAACATGGGTGCACATATGTCACTGTGGTATGATGTTTTCAGTTCTTCTGGGAAGATGCCTAGAAGTGGAATAGCTGGGTCAAATGGGACTTCCAATCCCAGCTTTTTGAGGAATTTCCAGACTTACCTCCACAATCTTTGCACCAGTCTACACTCTCACCACAGTGCAGAAGAGTACTGTTTTCCCCACAGCCACTCCAGCATTTGTTGTTAGTAGTTTTCTTTATCCTGGCCATTCTTTCTGGAGTAGGATGGAATCTCAGTGCTGTTTTAATTTGCATTTCTCTAATGATCAATGATGCTGAACATTTATGTATGTATTTATTTGCCATTTGTATTTCTTCACTTGAGAACTGTATATTCATGTCAGATGCCCATTTTTGGAATGGGTCTTTATGAATTTTGGAGATCTGATTTTTTAAAATTCTTTATATGTTCTGGACATTTGTCTGAGGGACTGTTCACTAATATTTTTTCCCAATTTGTGGGTTTTCTTTTCACTGTGCAGATTTCTTTCAACGTGTAAAAAGTCTTTAACGGACACAATCCCAGTTGTTGATTCTGTGAAGTATTTCGTGTGCAGTTTGATTCTTGTTCATGAATTCTCTACCAACCCCTATGTCTTCAAGATTTCTACCTACTTTGTCTTCCAACAAATTTAGTGTTTCCGTTTTACTATTTAGATCTTTGATCCATTTAGACTTTAGTTTAGTACATGGTGATAGGCATGGGTCTAGTTTTAGTTTTCGGCATATAGAGAGCCAATTTTTCCAGCACCATTTATTAAAGAGACTGTCTTCCAGGAGACGTGTTTGGTCTCTTTATCAAAGATAAGGTAGCTGAGTGTGTTTGTAGCTGTAGTTGTATCTTTTAATCTAATCCACTGATCTTCAGGTCTGTTTTTATTGCAGTACCATGATGATTTTTTTTTTTTTTCATGCTGATTTTATTACAGTAGCTTTGTAGTATAACTTCAAGTCAGGGATCGTGATGCCTCCTGCTTTGCCTTTATTGCTTAGAATTGCCTTTGCTATTTTAGGTCTCTTCTGGTTCCAGATCAATTTTAATGATTTCTCTAGATCTATGAGGTATGCTAGTGGCATTCTGATTGGGATTGCATTAACTCTGTACAACAATTTTCGAAGAATGGCCATTTTCACAATGTTTGTTCTTCCTATCCATGATCAAGGGAAGTCTTTTCATTTTCTGAGGTCCTCTTTGATTTTTTTTTCAGGGTATTATCCCATTCTATTTCTTAATAAAATACATTTAATTCCCAAGTCTGTTTATACATCTATTTTATGAGGTTAAGAAAAGCAACTCTTTAATCATCTTTCAATCAAATTTCTTCTCATAGTCAGTATCAAATCTTTTAAAAAGTCCTTTAATCAACTTCTTCTATACCACCTTATTAAAAGCCATTCGAAATTTACATTATCCCAGGGCTGGGATATGATTCAGAGGTACAGCACACGCTTAGTAAGTGCAAGGCTCTGCATCTGATCCTGGAACCATAAAAGCAAAGCCAATAAGTAGTTATTGTCTGTGTGTTGCAATTAGTTGTGAAATATATCTCCACTACAAAAGCTTAAGAAAAATTTTTAAAAAGAGAGTATGAATTCTCCGCCCTCTGCATAACATTTCAGGATTTCTTGAAAGACTTGTTGCTAATCATCCTGAGAGCACTGGAAATAGGCACATTCCCATTTCTTATTAGCCAAGCAAGTAAATGTGATGGATGAGCTCTTACAGGGTTTGGTACAGTGTCCCTTTGGCCAAGTCAAAGACTTGCCAGCCTATTTCCTCTCTGTAATTAGCATTACCTTAACCTAGGATACAGTATGAAAACAGGCTTCAAACTTAAATATTTCTTTTATAGAAGCTTAACACTGTGTTAGTGGAACATAGCTACTACAGCTAGACAATATGCTGTAGTCTCAATGGCAGCCTCCATGCTGAGATTCTTTAAATTTCTTGTTCATATTTTTGTTTCAGCTCTTTTAATATCGTATTACAATTATCTGTTTTGTCTCTCCCAGAGTAGACTGTTTTCTCCTTCGGAAAAAGCCTTTAATCGTCTTTGTATCCCTTCTATTTGTACTCTACCTAGTAATGGTGTGACAATGAATTCATAATTTTATATAACTATTATTTTCTTATATGCAGGATTTCTAACTTCAGGTCAGTAAACTCTGTAAGTCAAATGGCAAAGCACAGTAAGCCAAATAGTCAAAGTATCACTAGATCACATGGGATGTGTTTTCCTTTCAGCTCATTTATGAACTACAGAAATGAACTGTACTCTGAGCAACAAGACTCAGAGACTGTTTTCTCTGTGAAAAGACATGTAGGCAGGTAGCACTTTTTAAAGCTTAAAAGATATGAAGATACAGCTTTTTTAATGACAAGAAATACTTGACAAAAATACTAAAACCAGCAATAGCAGAAAGGTTTGAATTTTCCAAATTTTTGAATTTCATTATCATTAAAAAATAGTTAGCAGGATACGGTGGCACATGCCTATAACCCTGTCACTCTAAATCCAGTAAAATATGAGTTGGAGATGTAGCTCAGTGTGAAGGCTGAGTTCCATCCTCGTGCCACAAGCAAAGGAAGGAAGGAAGAAAAGTATATAATAATATCAGTATTTCCCTACCAATTTCAAGAAGGGATTTTAAATTTGTACTTTGGGAAGCTGAGGCAAAAGGATCACAAATTTGACCCTATCTCAAAATTAAAAAGGCTGGGAATGTAGCTTGGTACAAAAGCCCTGGATTCAATCCCTACTACCTACCCCCTCCCAAAAATTATTACAAGATTTTTTTATAGCTAGGTGTAAGGCACACGCCTGTGGTTCCAGCTACTAACAAGGCTGAGATGGGAGATGCCTTGACCCCAAGAGGGTTTTTTTTGTTTTTGTTTTTTGTGTTTTTTGTCTTTTTCATTTTTATCAGTACCAGGGATCGAACTCACGACTGCCTGCTTGCAGGGCAGGCGCTTATGCCGCTGAGCTAAATCCCCAACCCCGACCCCAAGAGTTTGAAGCCAGTCTGGGCAACACTGTAAGATCTCATCTTAAAAAAACAAATATATAGCTATTGCTTCCAATAAAGATTTTTTTTAGAAATCAGTTTTACCTATTCATCAAAACTTTTCTCTTATAAGAAAAGGTAATTATTTACCCCCTTTAGCCACAGTTTAAATCAGTGTTTTTTGCTTAACTCATTTTCCCTCTGTGTTCCTATGAAAGTCAATTCCAATGCTCTGTAATAGGGCATCCCCTAGTTATCAGGCTACCTTCTAATTAATACGAATGTTACCACTTCATCTCACACCTTGTGTGAAGCAAGTGGAATGTGGAATAATCGTCTAAATTAATAATTTCAAATAAAGAAGTAGTTTATTTTAGAAAAATGTCCTTTATGTTAAGTGCATTCTTTGGCCAGGGATGTAGTTCAGTGGCAGAATGCCTGCCTGGCAAGCACGAGGTCCTGAGTTCGATTTTCAGAATCAAAAAAAATGCATGCCTTCATTGTGGTGTAGGGTTTAGAACACATAAATTATCCAGAATACCAGAGGTTTTAATAATTGGAAATAAATGGTTGTAACATTTTTTCTAGCTATGGTAACTACTACTATAAACTTCTTGGAAAATAAATAGGAAAATAGTGAATGTGTTGTATAAATGAAGGTAATTTAGCATTTCTGTAACTTATAAAAACAGCCAGAGAAGCTTTAGGTACTGAGTGCCTTGATTATGTTCAAATATTCATGTGCTAATGATTCAGTTGATTAGATATTTGTAGAAAATGCATGCACACTTATCTTATTTCCTTTGATATCTAGGTCCTGCAGTAGACTGGTGGGCACTTGGAGTTTGCTTGTTTGAATTTCTAACAGGAATTCCCCCTTTCAATGATGAAACACCACAACAAGTATTCCAGAATATTCTGAAAAGAGGTGATCCTTTTTCTCCTAATAAAGTAGATTCAGTATTTCTGTGCAGTTAAACAGTGATTAACAAACTTATTTGTGCATTTGTATTTGTAGACATACCTTGGCCAGAAGGTGAAGAAAAGTTATCTGATAATGCTCAAGGTGCAGTAGAAATACTTTTAACCATTGATGATACAAAGAGAGCTGGAATGAAAGGTAAGGTTTTGTGCTAAAACACTTACCCTTGATTTGTTCCAGGTGGTGACTAGTCATAACAACATCAAGTTCTGGTACAATGGTACAGATAATATGACTGCTAAATGGTAAAAAAGGATAACTCAATTTATTTCTGCCCTCTAAATATACATGAATATATCTGTCTTTATTCCCTATTAAAATTAAGTACAGGCAAGTTGCAATATTCATATTCTAAATTAATTTTTTATTTTGAAGGAGATACCAGAAACATTCTTACTCAGTGTCTTAGACAAAATTAATTTTGCCTGGCAAAATTAACCATCAACAAATATAGAAAATTGTTTTATGAAAGTCTTTTGTAATTCCTTCTTTTTTGTGTGATACTGCAGATTAAAAAATGAAAGTACAAATAAAAAAAACAAAATATTATCAATTGGCGCACACCTGTAATCTCAGGGCAGGAGGATCACAGGCTCAGGGCCAGCCTGAGCAGATTAGCAAAACTCTGCCTCAAAAGTAGGAAATAAAGTGGCTAAGGATACAACTCAGTGGTACAGCACCCCTGAGTTCAATCCCCAGCATAGATAGATAGATAGATAGATAGATAGATAGATAGATAGATATTAGAAGCATTGTCAGGATGTAGTACATGTGTGGAAATTATAAAGTAAAGCATGATCAATATATGTGTAGACATCATTACGAAGGAGGGAGGAAGAAATCAAAAGCATCAAGGATGAGCTCCCTGCTAAAGTTACCTAGGACAACAGACAGAGCTAAAACTGTAGTGCTATAAACAGGTGATGAGGTGCGAAATGAGGACTACAGCATCAACTGGGTGAGACGAGTGGTAGGGAAGTTGTATCAGTGAGCAGGAAGTAAGACAAGTTCTCCCGAGTAGGGTGTGTGAGAAGATGCAGCTGCAGAGACAGACTTCCGGTAAGGCCAATCATTTATTCATTCATTTGAAAAATATGAACTGAGCACTTGGCTTGCCAGCTGAGACGCAGAATGACACAATGTGCAAGGTCTAATGGGGAGACAGACCTCAAACAAAGGTCAGCGGACCTGGGCAGCACATATGTGTGCCTGAAAGCAGTACCTAGCTAGTGTTGTCATAACACGCTTTTTTGTTTTATATTTTTCCTAAGAACTGAAATGTCATCCTCTCTTCAGTGATGTGGACTGGGAAAATCTGCAGCATCAGACTATGCCTTTCATACCCCAACCAGATAATGAAACAGACACATCATACTTTGAAGCCAGAAATAATGCTCAGCACCTGACCGTCTCTGGATTTAGTCTATAACATATAAATGTCCCTTCGGTTGAACCCTGTGTTATAGAATAAGCTCCATTAATTATTTACTCCTGTAGATGTAAGGGGGGATATTTTACCTGGATCAATGAGATTTTAATATAACAGCTTTCACAGAGGCAAAAGGTTATAAGGAATATAATCAGTAATTTCTCTTACTCTCTGAACTGTTTGTAAATCTTTAAAGCTCTTTTGACCATATTTATTTTGTTAAGTGCACTTTATGAAAAGTAAAGCATCAATAAAACTAGAATGACACTACTGCTATATAGACAGAGAGTCACAAGCTGGAGTTTCTGTTTCTCTGTTGATTTCAGTCCATCCTTCAGTTTGGTATTAAAACAACAAATGTACAATTCCATTTCAATTTAATTTACTTGCATAATATGCCTGCAAAAAAATGTCTCAAGGGTAAACACTTAAGGTAACGTCGTGTAACCCTGGAAATGTAGCTAGAAGGAATTCTCCGCCCCTTCGGGTAACTCCTTGGGGAATGAAGATTAAACAAAAGTACTAAAGTTTTAGCTTGCCTTACTAAACCCAGTTTTACTGCCTTGACTGCTTTTGGTGTTTGCCCCTTCAATATCTATTTGTTTAAAGTAATACTGGAAAGGTGAAGTGTGAATACTGTAAGTAATTTTAATAGCTTTTTCACTTTTAATAGATGGGATGTTTTACATCTTATAATCATTTTCAACATTATCAAAACAGACATCCTTAAAAATAATGTACTTTTGCCTAGTAAATATAATTTAACAAATAGATCACCAGTCAACATCATTCTTTTTAAAAAAAAATACTAAAATTCAGCTCACACATCTTATCTTAAATTTATTAAGACTTCCAGCATGTTAAACCTATAAAAAGGCAAAGTCCAAAAGTTAAGCATACCATAAAGTGAGTGTTCTGCTACTACAATAACCTATCGACTATGATTATTCCTTTTGCACATTGGTTTTAGTGGATTTACTCTCCATTACCATCCCAGAGCCCCGTTACAGTGTGCTTCACTAAGACAATAAAGTGTCAAAGCATTTCAGTGAAGCCAGGTGTAGTGACACATCCTGCAATCTCAGCACTGAGGAGACTGAAGAAGGAGGATTGCTGCACATTTGAGGCCAGCCTGGGGTATGTACTCGGTTCAAAGCCCTGGTCAAACTGTATAATGAGATCTTGTTTAAAATACAAATAAAATTTTTTTTTTCTCTTTATGTTTGAATAAAATGGATCTGAACAGGGAAAAATAAAAGTGTTACAGGGAAAGACGTACCAGTGTGATGAGTGCTATATATAATTGAATTTATGGGTTAATAATTTTTTTTTTTTTTTTGGTCTTTTTCGTTTTTTATCGGTACCAGGGATCGAACTCATGACTCCTGCTTGCAAGGCAAGCGCTTATGCCGCTGAGCTAAATCCCCAGCCCCTGGGTTAATAATTTTACTGATCCTATTTTAGTGATGCCTACTTAGATTTAACAATCAGTCAGCTCCCATGAATTTTTGTTGTTGTTTTCTGAGATAGTGTCCAGCCTCGTAGTTGGCTGGCCTTGAGTTCCCTATGTAGCCCAAGCTGACCACAGACTCACAGTGATGCTCTTGACTCAGCCTCCTGAGTGCTGGAATTATAGACATGTGCCACCAGGCCCGGCTCCAGAATGTTGATAATAAGAATTTCGGACTGAGGATTTAGCTCAGTGACTTAAGTGCCTACCTTGCAAGCACGCAGTCCTGAGTTCAATCCCAAGTACAAAAAAAAATTTTTTTAAAGCATCTGATATGTCTTCAAACTTCTCAACAGTTACAGCTGGAAATAAAACAGCAGCAGCAAGTGGAGTGTGGTGGTTCCCACCTATAATCCCCACTCTCAAAGTTGCAGGAAGCTGAAGCCTGCCTGCGCTACACAGCAAGTTCCAGGACAGCCTGTCTCAAGGGGAGAAAATAGCAGTATCTTGAAGCTTCTGAAAGGGAAAAATAAGATATTTGAGCACATGCAAAATCCCAAAAACTTGTCCCCATATCTTTAGAGACCAGTGATGGTGATCCTTTTAGAGACCAATGACCAAATTGCAAACGAAAACTATTTATCATGAAGTACCAGCATCTTTTGGGTTAAAAACAAAAACCCTCCTAGACTCGGGAAACGTGTCCCATCAAAACAACCCCTGTGGACAGTGGTAAAGTGTGAGCCAGGCACGAGAGACAACAAGTCCAGAGCGAGAGACAGCAAGTCCAGAGCGGTCAATGTCTCCAGCAGGCTTCAGACGAAGTCAGCCAACTGTGACACATCTGATGGTTTCATAGGATTTGTGTTTGGTTTTTGTGTTTTGTGTTCAGGCTAGCCTTGAACTCATTACATAGCTTCAAACTCCCACTAATCCTCCTGCCTCAGCTTCTTGAGTGCCACCATACCTGGCAGGTTTAATGGATTTTCAAATAAATGGAAGAACTAGAAATTGAATTACTGATAAAGAAAGCTAAGCAAAACTAATTTTAGCAATAATAAAAACATGTTCAGAAAAGGAAAAAAATGACCATAGTTTAATACCTTATTCAGGTCAGAATAGTAGTGTGAAATGTGAACAGTGACCCAACCATAATTAAAAAGAAGTATGCTGGAGGCAATTGTCCACAGCTCTCTCTCATTTTCTGCATATGAGGCACTGACTGGCCTTTTTAAGCAGCTGTAATGTTTGTTACATAATGTGTCAACTTCAGGTCAAAGTTTAAGGGACAGAGCAAAGAACCAGGGTCCTTTGCAAACACCCTCATCCTGTGCCAGGGCGCCCGGAGAGGAGATGTGAGTGCTACACCTGCCCAAGGGCCATAGCCTGATTACAGTGTAAGGGAGGGAAAGGGGCTTGCTCTCCCCACCTTTTTGCTCTTGTTCCTTTGCTGTCTTCTGCCACCTGAAGTGTTGCCCCAGTTTGAAGCCTTGGAGCCAGCTGATTATGGACTGAAACCTCCTTCATTTTGTCTCAGCAGTGAGGAAAAGTAACCAAGACAGCAACCTTGCATGGTGCACAGCTTTAAAAGACACACACTGCCCTTGGGAGTGCATGGCAGGGCACTGATATCCTGTATAATGAAAATAATGTCTTTCAGGAGCACAGCCTTGCTACCTACTCGTCTGGGTTCATCTCCCATAGTATACCCCACAGCATGTGCAGTTGTCATCTAGCTACCCTTTGTCACACTGTGGGAACTGTCACAGGAGCTGGTACACTGGCTGCTGCCACTGTTAGGTGTAATGAACACTTCTTGCTTTCTGACCTGAGTCTTAGGCTTCTACTAGCAGCCCTGAAACTGGCATGCTAACTTGGTTTTGACAAACTACATTTCAAAAGGTGAAGAAATAAAAAAGATACATGTGAGCAGTAAATGTAACAACAGAAAAATAACTGTATCTTTTGCTTTGGAAATGGGAAATAAACATAATTTATGAAACCTGAAAACATCAAGAAAAAATTCAAACAGGTAAAACCTCAAAGGTTTTGAAAAGAACCCAAAATAATGAAAGTAGTGGCCTCGTGTGAAGTAAACCAATGCAAAATATTTTACAAAAGGGATATTATACAGCTGTATTATACTTACCTGTAGAAGGATCTGGCTTCTGTTTATAAAAAGAAATCTGTATGTACTTCTACACACAAAAAAAGTGTCTTTCTCTTCACAGCATTTCCTAATCTCACAAAAGGGAGTTAGATGTCCTGTCCTACTTCTGTACAATATCGACAATTAAATGACCAAAATTTATCACTATTATCATGAGTTATTCACTAGGAAATGGAGCACCGTTGAACCCATTTTAGGCTTACAGCCTTATGAGGTATTATCTCAGTTTTATAAGGTGAGAAAACAATTTGTTACTTCCCATTCTGCATTTTGAAAATATCAAAACCTGCAAGCATAAGGTCTTGAGTTCAACCCCCCATTACCAAAACAAAAATAGTGTCAAATCCAGAATTCAAGCCAATCAGACTGGCTCCAGAATTGCAAACAGGCACAACAATCAAGAACTTCCTCTGCCAGTCTGGGCTATCGAGGCAGGTGTCAGCTACTTTCAGACAACAAACTTGTAACCCATGGAAAGGAGTTAAATGGATCAAGGGACTGACATTCCTCCCGGCCTTCACTCTTCAATTTGTCTGCTACATTTCTAAGTATTGGCCTTATTAAAAGGTACTCCAAGGTAGCAAGAGACTTGGCCCTCAGAACCTCTAGGACAATATAACCTCATCCTGCTAAAGAAAATGCAAACACACTGGCATACAACATCCCTATCACACTGATAGCACCAACTGCTGACAAGATATGGAGCAACAGAAACGCCACAGGCTGCTAGGGGGAATGCAAAATGGTACAGATGCTTTGAAAGACAGTCGGTCAATTTCTTACAAAAGGAAGCATACACAGTATAATTTCAGCAATTGCATTCCTTGGTTTACCCAGATGAGTTGAAAACATGCCCACACAATAATGTGCACACAAGGGGCTAGGGATTTAACTCAGCGGCATAAGCGCCTGCTTTGCAAGCGCATGGTCGTGAGTTCGATCCCCTGTACTACTAAAAAATAATAATAATAATAATAATGTGCACACAAATATTTACTACAGCATTATTCATAACTCCAAAACAAATCAAATGTCCTTCAAGAGAGAAAAGGATTAACTATAATGCATCCTTACAATGAAATTGTATTTAGTACTAAAAAAAAAAAGGGAGCCAGGCATGATAGTACATATCTGTAATCTCAGCACTCAGGAGGCTGAGGCAGGAGGATTACCATGAGTCTGAAGTCAGCCTGGGCTGCCCAGTGAGTTCAGGATCAGCCTCAACTATCTAGCAAAATCCTATTTTTTAAAAAAAGGTCAGACATGGTGATGCACACCTGCAATCCTAGCACTCAGGAGGCTAGGATAGGACGACTGCCAAGATAGGCTATGCAGTGAGACCTTGTCTCAAAAGACAAACCAATTTGAGCAACTACTTTAAAGATAACAATATGTAATTATTAACCATTGACAATTTACTATAAACTTGTTATTGAAATTTTTTCAGCTTTAAATACAAAAAATAAAAAACCAAAAAGAGAGAAAGTGGCTATTATGCCATGAAAAACATGGGAGAAGCTTACATACATGAGTGAAAGCTGCCAGTCTGAAAAGGCTACCTAGTGTATGACTGCAAACAGTGTACATGACATTCTAGAACTAGTGAGACAGGAAAAGTCATGGTTGCCAGGTGTTTGGCACAGAAGGATATACAGGTCTTCGACAAAAGATGTTTGGGGCAATGAAACTGCTAATACTGCATGGTAGACACATATCATTTTACATGTGTAAAACACCACCAAGAATGAGTCTTAATGGAATAGTATGACCATACGGGCTCATCAGCTCTAACAAATGTACTACTTTCTCAGGTGACTTCAGAGTTGGACAGGCTGTATGGCGGGAGGGTGGGGCACTGGGAACTCTATATGTGTCCTATCCAATTTAGCTGTGACCCTAGAAGAGCCCTAAAAAATCAGCTATACTGAGTAGTATACCAAAGGGGGGGGGGCGAAAATCTGTGGTCCCCTGCCTCCCTAAATAAACTCGGGGTAACTCTGCCTGCCTCACCGATGGACCTGTGCCCACCCGCGGCATCATCACTGTGGTCAGGAGAAGCGAGCCTGGCTGCATCGAGGCACATGCCTCGCTATGTGGCCTCGGTGGGAAGGAATGGACACAGCTGGGAGTTCCAGAATCACCTCTGGAGAAGGAAAAGCTCCCCGAAGGAAAACGGGAAGGAACTGGGGAGGGACTGGTAGCAGAACCAAGGAAGGGTGCTGAGCAGAATTTAAAAGTAACAGTGACCACTCCGATCTGATTTGACCTACAAAACTAGCTATTTTACATTTTTACATGTATCAGACTCAGAGAAGTAGAAAGGTTTTTAAATTAAGAATATGTGTGTGCGCACATGTGGTGCTGCTAGCAGCCAAATCCAGGGCCTCACCTGCAGGCAAGTTGTTCTTCTACTGAACATGCCTGCTCTGTTTTTAAACAGGCAAAGGAGCCACCCTTTTCCAGTTAATAAAATCTGGTACGATTAGGAAAAGCAGAAGGGAAAAAATGAACAGAGTAAAGCTCTGGAACATTCATGGCCAAGAGACACAGCTTTCCCAACCAGAGATGGGCAAGACTGCGTTACAAAATTCTTCCTGTAGAGTCGCGTGTGGTGGTGCACACCTGTCACCCAGCAGCACTCAGGCTGAGGCAGAAAGATCAGGGCAGCTTCGAGATCAGTGTAGAACACACAGTGAGACCCTGTCTCAAAACACAAAATGAACAAGCAAAAATATAAGGTGAAATGATTTTTTATTGTCCGTTTTGAGGCAGGGTCTCACTAAGTCACTAAATTCTCCAGACCGGGCTTGAACCTATGATTCTCCTGCACTGGTTTCCCCGAGTGCCGAGACTGTGGATGCCACCGTGCCCAGCCTTTTAACTGTTTTTACAGACAAAGATGAGCCCATTTCTACTCTGAGATTGAGGAGGAGTCTCCTAAGTGAGATTCTCAAGAAAGCTGAAGGCTTCTTGATCTCATCAGACAGAAAAACACCTCTGGAATTACTTTCTGCCATTCACTCTCCACATTCCTGTACAGCGGACACAGATGTACAGCAGCCACCCTGCAGGCAGGAGGAGGAAAGCTGCACAACACTAAGTGTGGTCAGACAGAAAACAAGAGGAGCCTAAGTTCCTAAGGCTTACACTGTGAAGGACCGCACCAACCCCAGACTTCTTGCACATGAGAAAAACATTTGTTGACTCAAGCCACTGCACTTGGATTTCCAATACATGTGGCATCTCACATGTTACGGATACCTAATATCACTTTTACCAGTATCTGTAGGCTCTCTGAGTTACTTATGCATTAAAATAGAAAACTCACCAAGTGCACCTAAGACCAACACTATGTATTCAAACTGAATCTCTGAAGGATCACTCAGAGGCTGTGGTAACCTATTTATTTGGCATAAGAGTTAAAGCTAAGACTTTGACTAGATAACTAATATTCTCAACCAAATAACAGAGTTAAATATCACCCTAGTTCTGACTTTTATCAAATTATATGCAATAGCATGGCTTTTAGAGTCAAGATCAGTTTATATGGATCCCTGTTATTCTCATTTTATCATTGGCTCATAATCAACACACTAACAATAACAAGTAGTAACACCATACCATTTCTCATTAACCTTTTATTTTTCACTTAGTTTTACAATAAACAGAAAAGAATTTGATCATTAAAAAAAATACCATAGTTGTCAATTCAAAATGAGGTTCTTATTAAACAAAGCAGAACACTACACTGTATAATTAATCTTTACTTTTTTATATACAAGAATTGTGTGCAAAATGCTTTTCAAACTATAAAATAAGACTTTGGAATAAGATAAATGGTTATCCCTAGGAGTTAGCTATCCCTGACTGTAATTAATCACAACTCTTTACAATCCTAATTAGCAATTTATTTATATACCAAGAACCACCATTCTGATACTAGATTGATACCTACTTTTTGAAGACAATTCCTATCCAAACTTTATTTCTACATATAATTTAGTTACTTGCTTCATTTTTTTCCTGAATAGTGAACAGTTTTTTTTTAAACAAATATTAGATCCTTTCAGACAAACATCTGAATCAAGATGGGAATAAAAATAAAACAAGTTTGATGAAAGTTTAGGAAAAGCAAATTGTACTGTCACACTTTTCTTTAGGCAAACAAAGAACCACCATTCACACTAGACAGATTCTGACCCACTTATTTAACTCTGAACACATGAAGCTAAATCCAATGTCATAATACCCAGAATCCTTAAAAATTATTTGCTACAAAGCTTTTTTTTTTTTTTTTTGAGACAAGGTCTTATTATGTAGTTCAGGTTGACCTCAAACCCACTGTGGAGTTCAGGATGGCCTTGAATTCACAGCATTCATACTGCCTCAGCCTCCCAAGTGCTGGTATATCAGGCATGCACCACCACACCAGCTTGCTACAAAGCTTCGCAATCAGAGAAATCTTTAAAGCACAACGCATACCTAAATGAGCAAGGAGCTTTGGGAAGTATACAGGAAGAATGGCTCTCTACGTATAGTCTTCAAGGATCTAAATAACAGTCAAAGTGAGAGGTGGGATGCAGGGACTTTAATCTCCATTAATTGGGCATGCATTACTCATATGGTAGCAGATGGCCCGTTTGCTTGTAAATTCTTCCAATACCCCTGGAAGTAGATACAGCCAAAAATTATACCGCAAAGGAAAAGTGAGGCACTAAGAGGTTAAGAGTCCAGTCTGTGTAGTTTACCGGTTGCAGAAAAGTGATTTTCATGTTTCCTTTCTTTAACGTTTATAAAAACAGTATAAATACATTTTTGTTTATATTTCAAAGCACCCTATGAAGCAGACACTAGCTATCCTCAGTTAAAGCAAAATGATTACAAAAGAATAACTCTGTATAATAGAATTAAAATCTTATTATTCATCTGCAGCCTCAGAATACCTCAGAATACTACGTCAAGCCCATTTTTCATCCTACTCATCAGTGGGTTATCTCTGTTCTGTGAAACATTTTAAAAACAAAGGCCAAGGCAAAGGACTGTAAAGTTAAAATAGTGAGGCCTGAACTGATTTGTGAATGCCCACGATTCTCTGTGGCCTACAATGTGAATGCAGAGAAGATTCCACCAGCAATTTTCTACTGCTTGACTCAGCAATTCAGGGACTGGTAGAAAACCAATATAACCTCGTTCGAAATTCACTCTTGGTTTGCATTTTTTCTCGTATTTCATTTACAAAATAAAACACATCTACTTATAAATCTGATCTCATTATCACAACTGTATCTTGGAAAAGTAACTTTGTAATTCTCTATAGGAAATAATCAAGTAAATATGTTACCAAATAATAATCAAAAGCTTAATGTCCTCCAAGTTCAAGGGTAGGGTAAATCAATGTATGCTACTTATAATTTAGTTGAGATTGATTATTCAAGTATCAGAAATATTAGTTCCCAAAATATTATCACTCTGTAGTGCAAAAATTATACGTGTATATATGTACACAAATCGAACTACTGGACAACAGAAAAGAAATGTAATTAAGATTTTCTCGTGCGCTCCAAATCCATTTCATTCTGAGATCATCCAGGCCCAGCAGTCTTCTTGAGCAAAACATCATTTTCTTCCGTTCAGTTTTCTTAAAAAAAGTAAAACCCAATTCTGAGTAAGTATAAATGCAACTTGAATATGTAACCCATCCATACCAAAGAATTCTCTGGATGATTCATAATAGTATTCAAATTGTTTCTTGTAAAATTATGTTACTTCCCAGTAGGAAAGACCTAACTACAAGCGCTGAAATTATCCAACAGCATTTAATTTGGTATTGGGGATTGAACCCAGAGTCTTACAGCTCTACCGATGAGATAAAACCTCCAGCCCTCCAGCAGCAGGGTTTATTATTTTGTTTGTGGTTTTTGTAGTTCTAGGGATACTAAACCCAAGGCTTCTATACTAACCTATATCCCCAGCCCTTTTTTATTTTTTATTCTGAAACACAATCTTACTAAATTTCCTAGATCAAACTTGTGATTCTTCTGCCTTAGTCTCCCAAAGTACTAAGATTACAGATATGCACCATCATATACACCTTGTTTTTAATAAATAATTTAAATCTATATTCCTCATTTGTATCCTCTAAATTCTCATCAATTTCTGACTGGCTACTATACAATTAAGATTTGGAGGGATTAACATACAGTGTTATCAAAACAGAAAAGTTGTGAAATAAAAAAAAAACAGAAAAGTTGTGAAATAAAAAAAATCTTAATCTTTATTTAATCAACACACATCATATAGCTAATATTTTCCAGACATTGTGCAAGGCACCAAGGATTCAAAGATAAATAAAGCAGCCTCTTAACCCTCAAAAGACTTGGTTTAATGACCGGGAAGGTGGTGATATATAACCCAAAAACCTGAGTATACATAGTATGAGGGTTTTAATGACAGCACAGTGAATGAGCTACCAGAAAAGGGTGGCTAATTAGCATAAACACAGCAATCACAAAGGATCTGACTTCTGTGAACTCAGTTGTTCCTCTGCTGTAAAATCTCCAAACCTTACCCAGCACCAAGATGCCAAAATTGAAATGCCCTCATTACAGATTCATCCCTCTGTGCAAAATATTCTTAAGCAACTCCTCTTGGAGGAGTGGTATTTTAAGTAATCTGATCTTTCTTTATGCAAGGCAGAAATCCACTTATGTACACCTGCTTGGCATGAATACCACTTGAAATAATGAGATCATTTTTTCACCTAACAGGAGGAGGAGATCCCTACAGCAGAAAAAACAGACCCTGGAGGTTGGGGGGAAGTGGGTACTGGGATTGAACTCAGGACCTCATGCTTGCCAGGCAGGCTGAGTTATATCCCTGGCCCACAGGCCCTGAAAGACTGAAATGGTTAACAAAGATGAAGACAGACGCCTGACAGAGCACCTAAGACAGAGCACTTGAATGAGGTTCTAGCAGAAATCCCAGCTGCTGAACAGAGAGCTGAAAGGCTGATAAGTCTGCAAAATTTAGCAAAACTCATAGAGCATAGTTTGTTTACACAAGGCTCTTGCAGATTTTATTACAATCTTTTAATGTAATAAAATAACTATAAATCAATGCTTTCAGAATTGTAGAATTTTTTGAGGCTCTGAATGAGACCTTTGGGGGGGTTGCACATGTGTAGTTAACTTGCAAAATGGAGAGCAGAGTGTCATCTGGGAAGAAAAGTGACAGAAAACAACAGAAAAAGGAATAGGAACTAATTCTACCGCTGCCCCCAGCCAGAGCTCTCTATGCTGGCTGTGCACTGAGATTCTTTTCTTTCCTCAGGATCTTTGACCAATTTTTTGTATCAGAATCTCCAGCCCTACAGGCAAAATAAAATTTCCTCCACCCTCAACCCCCACTCTTCACCCTGTCAGTTTTTATTTATTATCCCTGGGCTGGAAACTCAGGGTCCCCAAGAAAGTTACATTATATTAAATTTATGAATCTGAGCAGGCTCAGAAAGAAATAGGGTTAGAAACATTGTCCTTAAAGTAATAGTTTAAAAGAGCAAAGAAAGGTGGTCCACACCTGGGCCCTCAGCACTGTGGTGTAAGTTAAGGCTGGATAACACAAGATCCTGCCCAGCCTGGCAACTCTGGGACTTGGCCTGAATTTGTCTCAAAATATAAACAAAACAAAAGCCCCCCTCACACAACACACAGACACACAAGGACACAGACACACAAAGTGCTTTGGCTGTAGTTCAGTGCCAAGGTCCTGGGTTGTTTTGCTTTTGTTGTTTTGTTTGTGGTGCTAAGGAGCAGACCCAGCATGCTACAAGTAGTTACACTACACCCTAGAGCCTAGTTTTGACTTTTTTTTGGTGAGGGGGCCTCACAATCAAACTCAGGACCTTGTACTTGCCAGGAAGGCGTTGTGGTACTGAGCCATACCCACTGTAGAGCCTGTTTTTGAGTAGGAAGTACACAAATGACTGTATCACATACAGAATGTTTTTCTGACCATACTTGAAGGGTTGGGTAGTGTAAGAAACCTTTATATTTCTTGTTCTATGCTAGAAAAAAAAAAATCAAACAGCAAAATCCCAATCAGATTTTCTCTTATTTCCCTTCCATTAGTTTCCTTTCTCTTAATTTCAAACTGCTCTCTAGTCATCATTACCTTATGTTCATGTTAAAGATTGCATCAGATTAAAATACACCCTCCAGGCTATAATTTAGTTTCTTACCAAACAAGGCTCCACCCCCAAATCAGTTCATCTGCCACATGCATAATCAAACAGTGTGTCACAACACTATTCCTCATTAACACTTAGCTGGACAGTAGTAAACAAACTGCCATGTATAATGTGCAATAATTTAACATACAGTGAAAGCTCAATAGGCTTCGTAACACTGTAGGAAATTCAAGTCTGTGAACTACAAGGGGCACTTAGAGGGCAAACAACTTTGTTTAACAAGAAATGTTAAAAGTAAGAATTTTAGAAACACTGCAACTATCAAAATAACAGCAGACTTATCAACACAAACTCTTAAGTCAAGAAGGGAGTGGGGAGAAATATTCCAAGTCCTGAAGGAAAAAAATATGCAACCTAAGTTCATATATCCGTCAAAACTCTCTCTAAAAATTAATGAAGAAATAAGATACTTTCAAGACAAGGAGGAACTGTGGGAGTTCGTGGCCACCAATCCAACCCTACAGAGAGCGCTGAAGGACATTACAGAGAAAGAGAGGAAGAGATACCAGGATTACAGCTACAGTGGCAGAGAAGCCTCAGTGAACGGGGCAGACCATGGAATGAGGGAATAAGGTGGACAAATTATAGCAGAAAAGTGGAGTAGCAGACATGAGGCAGAGACGGTAAGCTAGTCTTTAGTAGAGACAGCTCTGAAACTATATTTAAAAAAAAAAAAAAGCAGAGGTCATTGCTAATGGTGTATAACGATTTAAAAGACACAGTAGTCCTAGTGCCATATTTAGATTGAATTAAATTTGTTCTGGTCTGTCCACTCATATCAGATTTGAGGACACAGACCTCTAGAACCAAAAATAGCAGGTTATACCACGGTAACTATCCTTACTTTCCTATTGACTTAGCTGAAATTCTGTATTACTTACATTGTCTTACTATGACTGATCTTAATTGTATCTGAATCATAAGACTATTGGTTGGCCTTGACTGATCCTATTTGAAATCGGTATGCGTGTTAGAATCAACCCTAAAAGTAGAGGAAACTATTCTGAGCATGACAAGATGTAAAGGATATCCATACTGGTATGAATCAGTAACAGCTCTCAAATACTACAATGCAGTCAAAGATAAGTTTTTATAAAAATAGGTGATAGTATGTTTAACTATAATAAGCCAGTGTTGTCGACAAATCTATTGAAAATAACAAGAGAAAACATAGTAGCTACGGAAGATCATTTATATTATAGTTTTATAAGTCCTATCCATTGCATGTTTATCTAGGAAATTGTTTCGTTGTCTTGTTATGACTTGGTTTTCCCTATAATACAGAGAGGATAGGAACAAATACTCTGAGGAAGAGACCTGAAAAACCCGAGGCTTATTTTGTAGCATTATAATATAAATTCTAGCAATCTATTGCTTGCTGATTAAAATGACTCTGGACTGGTTTCTTCAGCTCAACTTCAGCATATGCAGAGATGGGGACGGCTATCACAAAGAGAATGAGAGATGCGATGGTAGTTGGTATTGTCTTCCCTAATTTGGAACTTGAGGACCTAAAAAGACTCCATCATCCTGTAATGATTTGATTAGTTCTATAATATGCAATAAGTATAGAAAGTGGGTGAAGTTAGGGACAACTATTTGTAAGAAGCTAGAGACAGTTAGATAAGGTAGATCTCCAGTGGACTCGCTTTGAAATCTGTATTTCTTTAAATTGTTTTTTATTTTTTTTTAAATGTTCTGTTCTGTTTTGATATGGTTAACCTTATCCTCTTAGAGATGTAAAACAAATAGGTGGGACTGATAATCATATTACGGAGCTTTTGTTCGGCCATAGAGCAGAATGGTTTGTAGGGTCATTTTTTTGAATGTCATTCTATATACTTTAATTCTATAACCTGAACAGCCATTTCGAAGATGACAATTTGTAACTTATCAACTGGCAATTTCTTACCTTTTGTTTGTCTGTAATTTAGTATTATTTCTACCCTTTTTTTTTAATCTCCATGTATTTTTTTTTCGTTTCCTTTTCTTTAAATAAAAAAAAAAAAAAAAAAGAAACACTGCAACTTTCTGTGACCTCTGAGGCAGAGATTCATGCACTCACTCACTCACTCATGTGGGACAGCATCTTGCTCCTGCCCCAGGCTGCCCTTCAGCTCACGCCGGCCTCAAACTCGCCATCCTCCTGCTTCCATGCTCAGATGATGGGCAGGCATCATCACACCCAGCTTGTCTGTCTTTTTCATCTTTAGTGAAACGATAAACCGCTTCTGCCCTCAGTATATGATAAACCATTAATCTAATTGTAGAGGTTTTTGTCTTATGTTGAATTTCTCTACCCCCTACCTCCTAATTTTCTACAAAAAAGAGTTTTGAGGGCTTGTGGGTGCAACTCAGTGGTAAAGCTCTGTGTGGGCTCCAGTTTCAGTCCCTAGCACTGCAAAAAAAAAAAAAAAAAAAAAAAAAGGAGAGCTCTGAAATACACTGAACACATGTAAGGCCCAGTCTCTAATGTACTGTGCCTACAACTGAAGCCCAGCACTATTAATACATATTGAGGAAAGGTTTGCTTTTTTCTTCCTATCACTAGGGATATTAGAATTTAAAACACTGAACAGCACTACACCCAAACTACCCCAGAAATTTAAAATATGTGAAAGTAAATACAGTTCTAAATGATACAACAGCAAGAGTGTTTAGGAGTGTTAAATAGCTGACCATATTAATGTTTTTGGTTGGATCACTGAACACAACTGTTTGCAGTCTCACTGTTTGAGTGTCCAATTTGTATGCTTTGATACTGTGATTTGAGCAACTATCTCTAAGATGATAATGTGTAATCTATTAACCAGTGATTTCTTACTGGTTTTTTTTGTTTTTTGTTTTGTTTTTTTTTGTAGTTCTGTATTACTTGTACCCTTACACTGCTTTGTTTTGTTTTGTTTTTTCTCTTTTTCCTTTTAAATAAAATTTAAAGAAAAAAAAAAGTAAAGAAAGAATTTGTACTCTATCTCAACTAATATTATACATATTCAAACAGATTAAAACAGGGTAAATATCACTAAAAAAATAACTTATGCTTCCAAAATGCTAATTTTTTCATTTTGGCAGATGCAGCCCAAGAAAATGTACAGAAAACTTAAGCAGTAATTTATAAACATAAGCTCTTTAAACATAAACAATGAACACTTGTAATGATTCACCTAAGATCATGTGTACTTCAGTGTATCTATGTAAAACATCTACTGTAATTATGTAAATATTTAAACTGTTAGATATTTTTTAGTGTGTTCACTGCAATCATTATCTAGTGTACTATTGCTGTTCTCATGTGTTGTTACTTAACAGGAACTGGTGATGAAACACTGAAAACACATTCAATGAGGCCACAAAGTTAAGTAATAGTCTCAGTCCACACATGCATAGAAAGTAATTCAGTTTCAACAGTGTCTAAAAAAGAACGTTTTTTTAGGTTTGAAGATTTTCTTGAACACAAGAGCTTTGGCCTGAGGTTATCACCAACAAACTCAGGACACTTTCAGAGATCCTAGTCAATTATTCTCAGACCTATCTCACCACAATTGAAACTCTGGCTCTCACTTTAAAGTAATTCCTAATTCTAGACAGTCAACATTAGGCTGAAATTTTTCTGAAATGTCAATATTCACTTTAAAGAGACAAAGTAGTCATTATTTGCTTACCTCTCCACTATCCTTTGTATCAGCAAAAAACCCAAATGCCAAATCAGCACATAGTAATTACAAAGAAATATAGTCTGGCTTTTGTATAAATCAAAGATATATAAATCCATCAGATGCTACTAAATGAAATTTTCTCTTAAGTCTACAAGTATTTAGATATCATTTTCAGGGTAGTTCTAGTCTCAGGATCAGTATAGAACGTTCACTATGATATCTAGAAAATGGACCTATCCCCTTACTTGCTGCTTAAAGTTTTGTCTACTATGGGCGTTACAAAAATATATATGCCATTTGAAATTATACAAGTATAATGTTACCTTCTCCTTCTTTGATAATATAAATGCACCAACCACTGGACAATGAAAGGCCATACAATAGCAAAAGTTAATGCACCAGGAGACATCTCAAAGGGCCACCAAGATGGTCTCTGAGAAAATAAAATAAATTTATCACTAATCTATTATGTATCACATGTATAAACTTAAAAACAAAACAATAACTTTAAAAATATAAAACCAGTAAGAAATCTCACTCCTGTTATGCTACATTTCACAACATAATTCAAGAGGCAGACTTGCAATACTTCAAACTTAAATACAAAACAAGTAGTAAAGCATACAATTCACTTGTAATGCTATAAAGGTTTTATAAAATCTTAATGTATTTTAAATGATTTGAAAACCTAGCATTTAAAATTTCAGAACAGTTTCTTACCTGTGAGGACTGATTACTGGACTGCAATGTTGATAATTTTGCCTATAAATAGAAATGAAAGTAACTTAGCCTTAACAAGATGAAAACAGAATAATTTTCTATTTCCTACATGTAAACAAGGTAAAACTCTTGGTTTTATAAGAGTTACTCTTGACTTACTCTGTTTTTCTGCTATCTTGAACCCATACTGATCAATAGACAGTCTCTAGAACTGTGAGCTAAATAATTACCTTTGTCACATCATATTTAAAAGTTCAAATTATACAAAAATATCAATATTAAATCTCAAATCCACTTAAGCTCTGACTTCTTGTATAGCCTTATTAAATTATTTACTCACTCTTTAACCCTTTAGCCTCCATGTAAACCATCAATGTACAAACACATTTGAGAACTGCAGCACTGAAATAATTAAAATAAAAATTGTACAACAATATCCAAAGATTGGCTTTTGCAATTCATGACAAGGTATGGCAGAAAACATATATGATAGGAGAAATGAACTGCTGGTATTACAGGTTATTAAAGAAGTCTGTATGGCGGCACATGCCTGTAACACCAGCACTCAGTAGGCGGAGGCAGGAGGACAGCCATGAGTTCAAGGCCAGCCTGGGCTAAACAATAAGTTCAAGGGTAGCATAGTGAGACTACACAGTGAGACCCTGTCTCTAAAAGTAAAAAAAAAAAAAAAAAATTACATTTTAGAAGTAGTATCCACTAAGCAGAAAAATTTAGGATATTAACATTCCAATTTGGCTGATTCTAAAGATCAATTCCCTTAGAGAAAAGACACATCGGAGGAAGGAAGTCTTGCAAGCAACTCTAAACTGAGTGGTCAAGGCTCAATATTGTGACTTGGGAAACAGCCTTCAGTACAGAAGCAATATCAAGTTCGAAGGCCAAGCAAAGGGGTGGGGCATCCTGGCATGTTCAAGGAAGAGCTACAAGGGCACAGTGGCGACACAGAGTAAGAACAGGAGGCAAGCTGAAGAGGCGGGCTTTTAAATTTCTTTGTTATAGGTAATATGACGTTCAGGAGCTCCACCGCCTGCAGCTTAGAGTGAAACTAAGTGAGATGCTTCTTGGGTTGGGGATTTAGCTCAGTGGCATAAGTGCCTGCCTTGCAAGCAGGCAGTCATGAGTTCGATCCCCGGTACCGATTTAAAAAAAAAAAAAAGAGATGCTTCTGAGGGCTGCATTAGCCCTTACAGATCACGGAGGTGTAGAACAGTACGTTACAGTTCCTATGCACTCGAGCTGAAATGCTCCAAGGGCCAAAAGAATGGAGACAAGGTAATGAATAGGTTGCTAGTTGTAATCCTGCTTTGCAGAAGTAATATTCAGTCAGAAATTTATTTACAGCACTTGTCCAGAATACATGTAGTCAAGGGCAGACTCACAAAATTTGGGCTGTCCAACGACACCTCAGTTGGTATGGTTTTGAATGATCTCAAGGTGGCCAAACTTTTCAATGTGACAGAGGTAACTACCCCTTCTGCATTAAAGCAACAACTAGCAAATGCTGGGGATGAATGAAAACTACTGAATAATTGTATGTGCATCTTTTTCTAAGGAATAAATGATCTGGGATAGCAAGGGAAGATTTCTTGTTAGTAACCAGCACTCCAGCACAATTTTTAAATTTTGCTTATTTTTCAACTATTTAAAATGTTTTTGCCAGACATGGTGGCACATGTCTGTAATCACAGGACTAGGAAGGCTGAGGCAGGAGGACTGCTGTGTGTTCAAGGCCAGCCTAGGATATACAGTGAGTTCATGGCCAGCCTGAACAAACAGCAAGACCCTGTCTCACAAAAAATACATAAAGTGATTTTGCGATGCTGGAGATTGAACCTGGGACCTTCTCAATGAGCCACATACATCTTCAGCCCTTTTTATTTTGGGCTAATGCTTCATGAAGTGGTTAAATGGCCCAGGCTGAGCTGAAACTTGTAAGCCTGCCTCAGCCTGCCAGAGTCCTGGACAGGCATACACCACAACACCTGGTTTTAACTTAAGTTTGTTTTGGCTTTAAAGATACTTACCCATAAAAACAAGTAGCTTGTATATCGCTTCTACTTATATAGAAATCTTTTCATCATTTCATCCCACTGTTAGTACTACAGATTACTGGGTTTGTTTGTTTGTTTGTTTTGCTACAGTTTACACATGCTAGGCAAGCACTGCACCATTTAGCGACACTCCCAGCCTCTTCCCAACTTTGTTTTTCCTTCTGAAAGGAAAAATTCTATGTAATACAGATTGAGCACCCTAACCTGAACACCCAATATCCAAAGCACTCCAAAGCTCTGCAGAAACGTTGAGTGCCAGTATGACACTCCACAGTTTAACAGGTTTTACAATTCTGGAGTATTTCTGATTTCAAATTTCTAGTTGGTCAACTGGAAAAGTCTGTGGAAATATTCCAAAATCTAAAATACTTCTGGTCCCAAACATTTTGAACAGAAATGCTCAGTCTGTAGTAACCACTGCCAATCAAATAAGCTGACCTATCTCTTCCTGGGAGCCTTGTTTCCTTTTCTGAGTCCCTTCCGCTGGCGACAGCTCCCTGGTTTTATTCCAATGGAATGGCAATCCATCACAGCCCAGAGATCACTAGCCTAGGATACAGGACCACTGGGCTCTGCATAAGGGTATGCAACTAACTAAATTGCCTTTTCTTTTTTCTTGTTTTGTTTTGAAAGACTTGGGATTGAACCTAGGATCTTGTTCTGAGCTGCATCTCCAACTCTTTTTAGTTTTTATTTTGGGGCAGGGTTTCCCTAAAGTACCCAAGCTGGACTCAAACTTGCAATCTTGCTGCCACAGCTTCACAGCGTGCTAGGATTCCAAGCCTGTGCCACCATGCCAAGCTCTTGATTGGTCTTTTCTAAAACAGTATTTTAAAAGAAGTCCTTTTGAAGTTTTTAAAACAAGCACTAGAATTTGTGAAAGCTTTGTGGAAATTTGTGCCCTGTGTAAATCTGATCAATAGAGATTACACACTACTCTATAGGGTTCACAAACAGTCGAAGAGGGTGAGCCAAAGGTGGCCGCTGACCTGCGAAGCAGTGAGTGTTTCCAGCTTATGAAGCCTCTGCAGGACGTTCTGCATGTCCTCTTGCAGTCGCATGAGCACAAGAGCAATCTGCTCACTGAGGCTGCCTCGGGAGTCCCTGTCTGAGCCCCAGCGCTCACCATCACCTCCACTGCCCACCTGTCGGCCCTTCGTCTCCTCACTCAGATGTGGCATCCTGTGCCCTGTTGGAAGAGAGTAAAAAAGTCAGTTTGATTCATGTGTTCTAACCATTTTCCTGTTATCTCTTTGAGATCTAACCTCAATGCAGAATAGAAGCTACTCGGAAATACACAAAATAAACTTTTAGCTGGGCCCATGCCTATAATCCCAGCACTTGGGAGGCTGAGGCAGGAGGACTGCCAGCTGTGGCTACACAGTGAGTTCAAGGCCAGTCCAAACTACATAGTGAGACCCTGTCTCAAAAAACTTTTAGGACTAAAGGATAATGTAAACTATGTATATTGACGCATTCATAAAATTTTTTTCTAAGATTTCATACACAACCTGCTAGTACATGCCTATACACACATAACTCACAAATAATATGGATATTCACTGATGTGCTAAAAAATTTTTTATAAGAAGGTAACAATGCCAGCTGTGGTAGGGCTCACCTATAATCCCAGTGCTGGGGAGGTTGAGGCCAGAGGCTCACCATGAGTTTGAGGTCAACCTGGGCACATAATGAGTTCAAGGCCAGCCTGTGCAACATAGACAGACCCTCTCTCTAAATAATTATAATTATAATCATAATCATAATCATCTTAAAAGGTAACAAGACTAAAAAGAAAATCCCAGAAGGCGTGGCATGGTATTCGGTGCTTATCATCCCAGTATTCTGGGAAGCTGAAGGAGGAGGACCACAGATTTAATCCCAACATGGGCAGTCAGCAACTCATTAAGATCCAGACTCAAAAGGTAAAAATTGAAAAAAGAAAATACAAAGAATGGGAATGTAGCACAGCACAAAGTACTGGGACCCTTATATTATTAAAAAATTTTTTTTCTTTTTTGTTTTTTTTTAGTGCTAAGCATTAAATCCAGGATCTCATGTATGCTATGCATACTAGACCATGGACAATAACTTCTTTAATAGCCTTAACTATTTTTTTCCTCTTAATTCTTTTTTTTGACAGTATCTATTAATTTCTCACCAGAAACAATAAAAGTGAATATATTAATTTTGTCTCTCAATTATATTACTTGATCATATTGAGCTTTTTTCTTTTCCCACTATTGAGATTGAACAGAAGGCATCTGCAGTGAGCTGCATTTCCCAACCCCTTCTTTAAACTTTATTTTTTATTTTGAGACAGCATCTTGCTAAGTTGCCCAGCAGGGCCTTGAACTTCGGGACCTACTGCCTCAGCCTGGGCGCTGTAATAGGGATTATAGGTGTGAGTCATCATGTCTGGTGATTACTATTACATTTATCCTTATATTGTTAAATGTTCTTTCATTCTTATTTTTGACTTATTAGCTTTAAATAATCTCTTTGGACCTACGCAAGGAAATGTGTAAAAGATTCATTCAAATTTTACCTATAAAGGGAAAAGAGAATAAAAGTCACAGTTGGAGGGAGCAAGAGAACAGAAATATGATCACCTCCGCAACTTCCATGAAAGATTAAGAAACAGGAATCTTTTCCCTTCAGAGAACACGCTACTACATACGTGGAGTCAAAGCAGAGAACTAGACACAGAGAAACTTGTCATGTAAGGATGACGTAACTTTACAGACAGCCTGCACACACTGACAGTTCTGGGGACTCTGCCATGGAGAACTCAGCCACTGTGCTACTTCCCGAAATCAGCCCTCGTGGCAACGACTACTGGTAACACTGACCTCTCGCTCTTCTGACATGAGAGAACCCCTCGCTTTCTCCACCTCGTTTCCCATGCTGTGGGGCGCCACTGTCACTTCTGCCGTCTTCTCCTCCGTGCTTTACTTCACCTCTTCCTTCGACTGCCACCACCTGCAGAGTGCCAGTGTTGCCGTTCCCAGGTGGTCCTTGAACATCTTCAGGAAAACAGGAATTTTCCAAGGGCTTGTTAGGATCACCACTCAGGAAATATTGAAATGGTCCGGTGTTTGATATAAAACTGTCTGGAGACTACAAATTTAAAATAATATTTGGTCAAAAACTGTAAGTTACATACCACAAAGTTCTCATGGTAATAGAAATACTGTGTCTTCATGATATTATTAGAAATAGTGTGGTGGCACATGTACTTAATACCACCACTTGGGAGGCTGAGGCAGGGGGATCATTGCAAGTTCAAGACCATCCTGGGCTACAAAGTGAGCTAAGGGTTATCCTGAACTGCATAGCAAAACCCTGTCTCAAAAAGATGATATATATAGTCTTTTTCTTTAAAAATATCTTGAATTCACATTCAGCTTCCTATATGCAAGAGAAATATGAGATACAAGATATTTTGTCCATGCATGAAGAATTGAGACATTTTGGCAGTGAACTGTTCTCAAAAGTCAGTCATTTATCAAAGAAACAGGTAAATCCTTATAAGATATGATCAAATAAATATACCGAATGTTTAAAGAATTTTTAAAACTTTATTACGGTAGGAGTCACTTTGCCACTTTTCCACATTACTCCCCATCACTCAAACACATGTCCCATCACGCTTGGACTTCCTGCGTCAGTCCCTGAAGAACATTTTTGTGTCTTCATTGGCACTGTCATGGCTGCTTCAGATCCTCAATCAGTTCAAAGCACTGATCTTCCATGTCATTCTGACTTTAGGGAACAGCCATCAGTTGCATGGTGCCAGACGCAGTGAACAAGGCAGAGGAAAACACTGTAATGTTTTTATTTGACAGAAATTGCTATAAGCATTAGATCAATAAGGAATGATCATAAAATTTGGTAAACATTTTGAAATTTCATGTGGTAAAAGACAACTGTCATTAATCCCCCCCCAAAATATTCCTCTTCACTTTGAACTTGGCAAAGTGATTTTGTTTATTTATACCATAGTAAGTTTTTAAAACATTTACTGTACTTTTGGGTCATTACTTGTACTATTTTAGTTACTACGGTAAATTCTAGGAATACTATGATGAAAGAGGAAGATTCCTGCTTACAAGAAGCCAGTGAGGATTACTATAATATCATGTGATAAATTTGATGAGAAAGATAAACTACAGGACCTCAAAGGAGGGGTACCTAACCCATGCTGGGGTGGAAAGAAGACTGGCCAGGAAGTCTTTGAAGAAATGACAGAAACTATCAATTGAGAATAATCCAAGTCAAAGGCATCATAGTAATGACGGCATGAATGAAATACTTGAGACACTGTGATTTGAGAACTTTTAAGAGGAAGGAATCAACGTGACTTAGAGACTGAATGTGAGGAATACAAGTGTCTTGGGACAAGGTTTGTGACACTCATCAAGCTGAGAAATTCTGATGGAAAGGAGGTTTCAGAGAAACAGAAAGAGACAGTGGTAGTTACAGGTAGGTTAAACATGAGATTCCTAGGAATGTCTAGATGAACACCTGGCATTCTGAAGAGAAATACTGGATTTATCGCTTTTGGAGTCCTCAGCCTGTGATGGTTAAAGCCAAGGAAGCAGTAACTAGGGTTCTTTTCCTAAAGAGCACTAAATAGAAAGAGTCAACAGAAAAAGAGTAACTCAAGAAGAGGCCTACAGGAAACCTAAGAGGTTGGGGGGGGGGGAACCTATCACAAAAGAAAGTGTTGAAAGATTGGTACAATGGCATGTTTTCAAGAAAATGTGTTGGCATGTACGGCAGAACTCTGACTACAGTAAATGGATACAATAAATACAGACAACAGAAGGCCTGCTCATACAGTGAAGGACAGAAGTAAAATAATAGAGGGTATCACCAAGTTAAGTGAATATTTTCTTTCAAAGATGGAAGGGCTGTGAATATGTGCATAGCTTGAGAAGAAGTGGAAGAGAAACAATGGTTGGGGATGGTACAGAGAGGGTAGAAAAAGAGAAAGCCCAAAGGAGCAGGAGGACATGGGCAATGCAGAGAAACTGGCCTTAAATGAGAAGACCCTGTTACCCTATAAGGTGGGTAAGAATGAATAGAGAGCTTGTAGTAAATTAAAGACTAAGGATTAGGCCAGGTGTGGTGGTGCACACCTGTAATCCCAGCACTCTGGAGGCTAAGGCAGGAGGATTGCTTTAAGTTGGAGGCCAGCCTGGGCTATACAGTAAATTCAAGGCCAGCCTGGACTACACAGTGAAACTGTCTCAAAAAAGAAGACAAGGATTATGGTACAAAATTTAGGGAGCAGCCTATTGGCTTTCATCTTCTCACAACAGCAGATAACAAAAGTATTTGAGGAAAGCAAGAGAATAGGGCAGACTGGACTGATAACCACATTGCCAATTCCACAGGCACTGTCGCCTTTCACCCAGTACAGTCTGCAGACCCCCAGCAACAGCATCACTGGGAACTTGTGCAAATGCCCACCTTTTCCAATATCCACCTTAAGGCCGAGCATGAAAGCACATGCCTGTAATCCCAGCACTTGGGAGGCTGTGGCAGGAGGATCCACAAGTCCAAGACCAGCTTGGGTTAAGAAGTGAGTTCAATGCCCGCCTGAATTGCACAATGAAACCCTATCTCAAAAAAGAAGAAAAAAAAAAAAGGAATGTCCACCTTTCAGAATGGGACTTATAAAATACTCAGCTTACTTACACTGACTGAAAACAAAAACCTAAAAAATGACTTTCTTATAAATAGGAATTTAGCCAGGTGTGGTGGTACATGTCTGTAATACCAGCACCAGTAGGCTGAGGCAGGAAGACTGATGTGAGTCCAAAGCCAGTCAAAACAAAATAAAAATAAACAGCAATTTAGGAGAGCTGAGGCCCTGGTATGTGATCTGAGCTGGGCATGGTGGTGCACTCCTGTAATCCTAGCACAAGAGACTAAAGCAGGAGGATCACCACTTTAAGAGTTCAGTCACAGCCCACTGCAACACACATACATTAAATTATAAAATGTAATTTAATATACATGAATAAGACTGACATTATTAAAATAAATGATAACATAAATTCTAGTTAAACATATGTAAATACCCAAGCAGGAGCCTTTGGATGGTAGACACCTATGTGAACAAATGAACGTCAATACTGCCAAAGGTCCAGAGATAATGCGCAAATACGTGCGTGTTTGATAATGAACAGATGTGGTTGTGTCTAATATGAATCTTCCTAATTTAGTGCTTTGTGTGTTGTAATGATGGGCAATGAGCTGGGTGCATGGACAAGAAGTGTTCATATAAGGAGAGCTCTGTTGCTGGACATGAGAGATTGGGGAAATGGAGTTGCAAGAAATTCAGGCCAGAATTAGGACTTAAGAGAATTACAACACTGTTCCAGAAGAAGATGACATGACTGTATTTGAATAAATGTAGTTACTATACATTTATTCAAATGTACGATAAATTTTTGGTACACACACACACCAAAAAAAAAAAAAAAACAAGTTCAGTCCGGACAATTTAGTAAAACCCTGTCTCAAAACAAAAAAAGAGGGAAGGTCTGGGTACAGAGCTCAGTGTGAAGAGCCTGGGTTTAATCCCCCGTACCATTTAAAAAATTAAAATAAGAAAAGAAAGAAAGCACATAGCCCTCTGTCACCTCAGGGCTTCGGTGAGACCCGTGGTGTAACACAGTGCCGCTAGACCAGGAAGCCTACAGGAAGGACGGAAACCAGAGCAGTATGAATGGCAACAAGGGGGGAAAGATCGCTGTGCTCAACAGCGCCCGAATATCCTGAAAATAGTTTCAGTATTTACTTTTTTAAAATAGTGACTTATTACAGATCATCTGTCTTGAGTAAAAAAACTGACAGTAATATGATAAAATAATAATAATAATAATAAAAAAGATTTTAAGTATCTTCGTAGAGGGCTAAATATCTCAGTGAATAAGATCATGACATGAAGTCTGAGGACACAATAATAGCTGTTTGGAATGAGATTTCCTTCTGGAAGAGACACCCATCTGGTGTGAAGGCTGTGTCAGCATTAATGCACTGCACGGGAAGACAGTGTCTTCTGGGCCACCTGGACAGACAGACAAGGGTGCTAGAGACACAGAGGGCACTGCTTAACACACACGAGGGACAGCGAAGGTCAGGCGAGCAAAGACCTAACAGGAGAAAGGTGATCACCAGCGTCAGCTGGGCAGTGAAAGCCCAGCTGGACAAAGCCCCCGAAGGCTCTCAGCCAGCCACAGATTTATGCAGAACACAGGAGCAAACCCACAACTAAGGGCCCAGACAATTATCGAGATGAACAGCTCTTTTCACCAACATTTGGTTTTTGGGTCTCACTGTGCAGTCCAGACTGGGCTTGAGTTTGTAATCTTCCTGCTGCTGCTTTCTGAGTATTGAAGTTAGAGGCATGTGCCACCATGCCTGGCCAAAAACTATTTTGAAAGAGAAAATAAGGGATTTGAATTTTTATCATTTTCTGTTTTTACTTCCACTAATTTTGTTCATTCTCTGTTTGGCCTCCTTGTCACCATTTTTACCATGTCAGCCAAGCATGGTGGCACACATCTGTAATCCTAGCACTCGGGACACTGAGAGAGAAGGCTCACTGCCAAGTAGAGGCCAACCTGGGCTACAAAGTGAGTTCAAGGCCAATTTGAACTGCAGAGTGAAACCCTATCTCAAAAAGCAAAAAAAAGAATTTTTAAAGTGGCACAGCGGCGCACACCTGTAATCCCAGCACTCAGGAGGCTGAGGCAGGAGGACTGCCTTGAGTTTGAGGTCGGCCTGAGCTACATCATGAGTTCAAGGCCAGCTTGGACTTTGTAGGGAAACCCTATGTCAAAAAAAAAAAAAGGGTGGGGGGAGATAAAACATTAAATGATTGTTGTAGAGGCAAGAGCTACAAGATTTTCTGTAAGACACACTGAACCTGCATTAGAACAGAGTGAAGGGAAGAGTGGGGGAAACAGGTGTAAAAATGCTGAAAATACAGTTTTCAGAACCATCTTCACTGTTATCAGAAAAAGCAAATAAAAAAAAAAAAAACAACCTCATGGGCCTTTTATAGTTTTTTTTTTTTTTTCAAATTTCTCTTCCAGTATTAAATCTTAATTAATTTAAATCTGAAGATTATTTCCACAAAAATTTTAGTCCGATGGATTACAATCAATGTGAAGAAGAGACTGCTTCAAAATTTTTCAATTAAAAAAAATTTTTTCAATTTTCTTCACTGACCAGTGTTAAACACATTGATTCTCCCCAGGTTTCTAATAAATTAATTTTTAAAATTGTAACAGTACTCTAAACGATTATTCTTTGAGTCTTCTAGAAGTATATATACTTTAATTCACTAAAATAAAAATATGCACATTTAACTGTTTTAGAGGTATGTTTTCAAAGTGATAAACAGTGTATACATCTGCTATTAACAGAAGCTATGCACTGAACTTTGGTATACCACTTTGAAAACTTACCAATCAGAAAAAGTCATTTTTACCTCTTCTTGCCCAAACTGCTCCATAGAATCACAGTAAATTTCACTGTCTGAATCACTTGTCAAATGCAGAATCCCTGAAGCATCTTCAACATGATCATCATTTATATCTAAATATGAACAAATAACCAGGAAATGTAAGAATATTCTACTAGAAAATATATTTACTCTATGTTCGTACTGAAATGCAAATTTGATTCATGAAATCATACTTTAATTTACCAAAACTTTCAATTTAGTTGATACTTTTTATTTGAAAGGATAAAAACATATTTTGTCAGCCCGGGGATATAGCTCAGCAGTTAGCAGCTGCCTGGCAAGCGCGAGGTCATGAGTTTGATCCCCAGTATCAAAAACAAAACCAAAATAAAAATGTATTTTGTCATTTAAGTCTATGAAGACACCATCCTGGCAAAAATCCCAGGAAACCTAGTAACCTAGTAAGAGAAAACACACTATGAGTTAGGACCACCCTAGACATGAGGTGTACCCTGCGAGTTTGGGTGTCACACTAAGAGATGATGCTTCTGCACTTGCTCGCAGCTACATTAATAATTTCACACACGTGTAGGCTCACTCCAAGAGTCAGAGGCCATGAAAAAGCTCTAACGTACCTAGACGATTAGAAAATAAAGGCCACATAAAATCAGGAGTCAAGAGAAACAATCAAGAATAAATCAAGAATAATCAAGAATAAATAATCAAAGATTTTATTTAAAACATCATGTGGTAACACAAAAAGTCTCATGAAAAACATAAAAGTTTTATGTCATAACTTTTGTCCTAACTTACTGTCTTTCAATAATACACACCCTTACTTTTAAGCTCTAAAATACTATTTTAAAATATTTTAAAATTCTAAACTATTCCTGAATATCCTAAAATTATTAAACAGTATTATAGGAAAAAGATAGGAAAAAGGCCAGGCAAAGAAGTATGCGGCCCGTACCTTGGGGAAGGTGGACAGCAATGTTTCCAGTTCCCTCCAAGCCCTGATCTCCAGGTTTTCCTTCTTCAGCACTTCTACCATTCAGGGAAGAAGTGGCCTGAATGTCACCTTGTATATCCTGAATAAAGCTGTCTTTATCATAACCATTAGTGACGATTTCCAAGTTCTTATGCTCTCCTAATTTCATCATTTTCTTATCTGTTAAGAAACATCGAAGTCATAAAAATTCATAGTAGGTCAAATTCTGCACACTACGTGCTAATATCCTCTAGTCATTCCTCAAGCTACCATAATTTCTTGGTAGGTTTTCTGTTTGGGTCAGAGAGAAGGGGTGATCCTTGAAAAGATATTTATTATATACTGAGTTCACCCAAAATCTGTGTTGGCTTTTAGAACTGCTTCCGTAGATCTCTTGAGATCTTTACTCTCTCAGATCCTGGACAGGCAAACTGTTACAGAGAAGGGATCTAGCACGGCAAAAGGTTGTACAAAGTTGATAACAAGACAGCTCCTTATAGACTGGAAAGTGGAGGCGCACCAAGGTGCACGGTTTGCTTTAGAGTCTAACTCCCTTCTCTAAGTCCCTGAGTCACTGGCAGTCCCACTAACAGGACTCCCAGCCCACAGAACCCCATGATTCCAGGGTTCCCTCTTCATGAAAATGCACTACAGGCGGCAGCACAGTGCTTGCCTACCATGTGTGAGACCTTGGGTTGGATCCTCAGTACCACAAGACGAAGCAATGAGACGCATTTATGCCTGTATTCTTATTCTTTGGACTCCATTTTATTTTTCATAATTGAAAGTCTAACTTGTTTCCAGTCCTTGCTTACATATGCATATTCAGATTGCAAATAATACCTTAAAATGCCACATGTCCAAAAAAACAGTACTGCCTGTCCTGGGCAGCATTTCATGCACTACATTTGGGGGGTGGGCTAGTCTCGTCAGCCCTCAGTCAATAGTTTTCATTTACACATATGATCAGTCATCCCTCCTCTCTGTGGCCAAGGCATTCTGGTCCACACCAACCCCGCGTATAGAGACAAGAGCCCACATCCCCCCACATGCACTCATCTGACACACAACCAACCAGCCCAAACCCTTCACATCTTCTTACCTAACTTAGTGTGAAATCGCTAACTCACTGCCTAAAACTCACCATCATCGCTTGGCTCTGCTCGCTTCTCTCCCTCCTGAGCCTCTTCCTCCTCCGACTCGGCTCCACTGTCACTGCTTTCTGCTTTCCCATTAACGGCTTTGGCATTCAGAGTAGGAGTAAGAACATCACCCAGATCTAAAACATGAAATGACCATGCAATCACTAATGTGCTCACAGAAAATAATGCTGCAGTTTACAAATAGCTAGCAAAATACCTTTGAGTTAAACTATTAGAATGTTATATATAATTAATAGTACTGTCTCTTTACATAGCTAAAAACAAATTCCTTCAATTATCAATTTATAATAAAAATGATAAAGCTATCTTGAATCTTTCTAAATAAGAAAAGGGATAAGCTCCTTTTAAATTAACACTAATCAAAATAGTAAAGACATAAGCCATGGTGGTACATGCATGTAATCCTAGTAATAAGGAGGCTGAGGCAGGAGGATCACAACTTTGAGGCCAGTTTGGACTGCATAGCAAGATCCCTGACTCAAAAGTGAAATTTAAAAGTACAGTAAAGGTATAGATAAATGATCTTCATACATACTAAATGAAAAGATGCTTGCTAACCTGCTGAAAACATAAAGTAGTCTTACCAACAATCTTATCAATACTATAATTGAACCTCATTTTTTAAAAATCTTTTATTATCATGAAGTTTTCAGATATACAAACATTTTCCTTTTTATTTATTTTTGTACCAGGACTCAAAACTCATGACCCTGAAATCGCCAGGCAGGCACTTACTTCGTCGAGCTATAACCCAGCCCTTTTTGGTCTTTTTGAGACAGTTTCACCCTGCAGTTCAGGCTGGCCTTGATCTCACTCTGTATCAGGGCTAGCTTTGAACTCATAGAAATTCACCTGACTTGGCCTTCAAAGTGCTGAGATTACAGATGTACACTGCATGCCCAGCTAACAATTTAACATTTATTTATTTATTTATTTACTTATTTGTTTGTTTGTTTGTTTGTTTATTTGAGACAGGATCTCACTTTGTAGTTCAGGCTAGCTTTGAACTCACTATGTAGCCCAAACAGGCCTTGCACTGTTGGGAGATCCTCCTGCTTCAGCCTCCAGTGCTAGGATTACAGATATGCACTACCACCACCCCAGCATGTCTTTATGATACTCAGTTTCTCTTTTTTGACACAGTCTCACTAGCTGGTCTCAAACTTAAGGCAATCCTCCTGCCTCAGCCTCCCAAATGCTGGTATTACAGGCATCTGCCACCGTATCTTGCAATATTAAATTTTTAAAGTATCAATTAATGTGATCTATACATAAGGAAGCAACTGTTGTAATGGTAGTTATACTCTAAGTGCAAATACACCAGAGCTTCTCAATCGGTACTGTCCCCATCAATCACTTCAGAGCTCATCATGAGGTTTAAAGTCATCTAAGAGTCTACTTTTCCAGAAAGCTCTTTTTAAAATCCTAAGGACCTCCTTGGCCAAGTGTGGTGGTGCACTCCTACAAACCTAGCACTTGAGAGGTTAAGGCAGGAAGATCATCATGAGTTCAAGGCCAGCCTGGGCTAGGAAGCGAGACCATGTCTCAAAAACTCCCCCAAAACAAAGAAAATAAAACCATACCAAAGATCTCCTAAAAACACCAAAAGGAGTAGTTTCCTTTCGTACTGTATAAGGCTTTATTTTTACTTGTCAAATACACTTTGCATGCTTTTCTGCAACTAAAACATGTTAAGTTCTAGAATACCCGTAGATATTGAGCATGAAGGCCTACATTCTTATTTACATCTATTTAATTAGTGGAACAGAAGAATAAAAGTTCCATTCTTTTCTATTAGAGAATCTTGGCAGTATTGTAGTTTGTTTCTGATATGCTGGGAATCAAACCTGTGACCTTGTACACACTAAGCAAAAGCTCTGCCTTTGCGTCCTCCCAGCCCTTGAGCACTGTATTATGTACTGATTTTGTGTGTGCATGTGTGGAGCTCAGGCTTAAACCTAGGGCCTTGTGCATGCTATGTGCACAGTAGCACAGTTTTTTGTTTTGCTTTGTTTTTAGTTTACTAGTACATGTGTTACATTCCTTGTGAGAATGACAAGCAGAAAAGGTATGAACAACACCAATTAAAACAAAAAGTATGGCCGGGGATTTAGCTCAGTGGCATAAGTGCCTACCTGGCAAGTGCAAGGTCATGGCTTTTATCCTCAGTACCAAAATAAATAAATAAATGAATAAATAAAATAAAACAAAACAAAAAGTAGACTAGGCATGATGGCATATGCCTGCAATCCCAGCACTTGGGAATTTGGGACGCTGAAGCAAGACAACAGAAATCGTTGGAGACAGTAAGTTCAAGAGTAGCTGCAAAGTGAGACCCTGCTTCAAAAATACACAAATAAGTAAATCTCATCACCTATAAACATCTTCAATAAAATATACCAGGAACTCCCTCTTCTCTATCCCTCAGCAAATTAAGGGTTCCAACAAAATTACTTGATAGAAAAATGCATTATAAGCACTCAGAAGGCTGAGGCAGGATTGTTGCACATCTGGGCTACAAAGTGAGCTCAAGGCCAGCCTGAATTACACAGTGAGGCCTTGTCTCAAAAAGACAAAAAAAAGCATTACAGCAATTCTGTCATAGAGTTATAGAAAGTACAGGGAGTTACTGATAGGCCCTACTCAACATTTCAAACCAATTAATGTAACATTCCATATTAACAGACTAAAGGACAAAAACCATATGATTATCACACAGATGAAAAAACACATTTAATAAAATTAAAACCTTTGGGGCTGGGGATTTAGCTCAGCGGCATAAGCGCCTGCCTTGCAAGCGGGCAGTCATGAGTTCAATCCCCGGTACCGATAAAAAGGAAAAAGACAAAAAAAAAAAAAAAAAAAAAAAAATCAAAACCTTTTTCATGATTTAAAAAAACTGGAGCTGGGCATGGTGGCACATTCCTGTAATCCCAGCACTCAGAAGGTTGAAGCAGGAGGATCGCTGCAAGTTTGAGACCAGCCTGGGCTACAAAGTGAGCCAAAGACCAGCCTGAACAGCATAGTGAGATTCTTGTCTCAAAAAGACAAAAGAAGAAGAAGAAAAAAAAAAAACTGGAAAAGCTAAAAATACAAGAGAATGTACCTCTACTAGCATCTGTATGTAAAAGACTCCTAAGAGGGTGAGCACGAGCTGGAAGCCGGCAGTCCCAGCCATTCAGGAGGGATGAGAACTGCGCCCAGCAAGGGATCTGGCCCAGGATCTGAGGCCAGACTGGGCAACATAGTAAGATCATCTTCAGACACACAAATGAACAACCCGTCTAAATTACAGCTCAACAATGTATGAACCTTTGTTGTCCCTTGATTGTTATGGTTTGAATTTTTTTCTCTCTGAAATAAAATGGATTTGGGAAAAAATAAATAAAATAAGGCCCAGAAAAGGTCGTCTGCTCTTTCTGTCTGTCATGGTTTAGATCTAAAATGTTCCCCAGAGCCTCACATGTTTGGAAGGGTACTGGGTAGCAGGGCTCGGTATTCATCCGAGGGTTAATGCACTGTGGACCCAAAGCCCACTGTGCTCCAGAAAGTCGGTCCTGGGCGGAGGAGGTGGGCGTGACCTGGAGGCACTTTTCTCCTGGCTCCTGCTTCTGTCTCTGCTTCCCCGCTGTCCTGAGTTGAGCAGTTTTCCTTCCCATGCCCTGCTGCCACTTTGCCAGATCTGCCTTGGAGTTAACCAAGCATGAAACCATGATTACATGTAGAAGAAAGGGAAGCCACCTACACTCTGTTTCTAACGGAGAGCCTCCCATGTGGCCTGACCTCAGGACCATATATGTGCACTCTCCTTTTATCCAGTCAAACTGACTAGCAGACATGGGATGGCGCTTCTGCCTCACACTAACATGGTAATAAAGGAGTTTATGGGGAAAAAATAAAGAATGACCAAAACAATCTGGAAAAGGACAAAATTATAGTACTCGAACTTTTAATTTCTTTTTTTCTGTCTTTTTGAGACAGGGTCTCAAAATGTAGTTCAGGCTTACCTTGAGCTAACTTTGTAGCCCAGGCTGGTCTCAAACTCACAATGATGCTCCTACCTCAGCCTTCCAAGTGCTGGGATTACAGGTGTAAGCCACCATACCTCGCTCATATGTCTAGTTTCAATTTACTGTATTATATTGTGAAAGACTAAGTGAAACTAATACATCTGTTCTGCTGGGCCTAAACACTACCTTTAATAAGGTGTTTTGTTTGTTTAAAAAAAAGTCAAGATTGCAAACTGGTTTGACATTAGGCAGTGCTTGTAAGATTATAAATATCTGTAATTCTACTTCTAGTATTGTTTTCTATGGACATACTTCCATGAATATAAAATGACAGTATACATACAGTTAACTGAGCAGCAGTTTGTTGACAACCAACAATAGAAAATGACCTACATGTCCAAAGAATGGCTCAGGTTTAATAAACCATTCTTTTTTTTTGGTCGTTTTCTTTTTTATCGGTACCAGGGATCAAACTCACGACCACACACTTGCAAGGAGGGGCTTATGCCACTGAGCTAAATCCTCAGCTCCTAATAAACCATTCTTAACTTATAACTTTTACATTATACAGATACATTTTGAAATCCCAAATCTTCTAATTTTGCAAAAGTGATATGGTATATTATATAACAACTCCAACATAGACACAAGAGGCTCTCACTAAAAAATCAGTAATAAGACTTTTGCAACAGGGCCTGATATTAGCTCAGTGGCTTACACGCCTGCCTGGCACGTGTGAGGTCATGAGTTCAATCCCTGGTACCAAAAAACACACAAAAAAAATGTACCTTAAAAATTTTTGGGGCCGGGGATTTAGCTAAACAATATAAACGCCTGCTTAGCAAACGCAAGGTTGTGAGTTCAATCCCTGCCACAAAAACAAGAAAAGATTTTTGCAGCAAAATGTGAACAGTTACTTATTTAGTTTTTGAGACAAGATCTTGCTACACAATTCAGGCTAGCTTTGAACTGTGTAGCCCAGGCTGGCCTCAAACTCACAGCAACCACCTGCTTCAGCCTCCCGAGTGCTAGGATTATACACATGCACCACACCTGGCTTTGAAAAATATTAAATGACAAAAAGAATCAAACTAGCCTCACATTACTTCAGATTATGTTTTTCCCACAGGATTAGTTCACGTCAGTTTTAGGGATTATTAAATCATAGATAAGTAGCTGGGTACCTGCTAAGATCTTTTTTTCCTTTTCTTCTTTTCTTTTTTTTTTTTTTTTTTGTTTCAGGGATTGAACTCACAACCTTGCACTTGCCAGGCAGGCACTTATGCTACTGAGCTAAATCCCCAGCTACCTGCTAAATTCTTATTACTGTTACTTACTCTTCCTTGTTTTATACTTACTTGTTCAAGTATCTGCCTCTGGCCAGCACACTAGACACTACTAAAGCAAACCCAGATTTGTTTCCCTCTGCATTCTAACAATATGCCTAACAGAGGAAACATTTCACTTCTGTCTTCTTAAATGAATAAGCACAAAGAGGATTATTTGTTAATATTTGACTCCTCTAAGAAAACCAGATATAAAAAGGTGTGGTACTTAGCCAGTATTGATTGCACATGGTTTATTACCATGACAGACATAAACTACAAGCCTTCTATTATAGTACAGGAAAATTACAGCCCTGAAATACTGAAAATTTTCTGCTATTAAAAGGTACCTTGTAAACAAGGTAATTTTTAATCACAGGCTAATTTTTAATCATAGTATATACAATTTTCATTTAGATTTACTCTTGTGGTCTTAAAAATGATTCTCTAAAAAGAAAAATTTTTTTCGGAGGTAAGGTCTCACTTTCTAGTGCAGGCTGGCCTCAAACTTATGGCAATCCTCCTGCTTCAGCCTAATGAGTGTTGGGATTACTTAAAAAAAAAATTTAAGGAGCAAATGTTTAGTTGTTACCATAAAATTTTCCATTTTATTTAACTCAGTATGCACAGCATAAGTTTTTCACTGAAGAAAATGGAAAAAAAAGTTAAATGAATTCACTGATCCCTTATTTTACCTTGCTATAGGAAGAAGTAAGCCATATTGTAAATATTCATTTTCAAATTTGGTAGAAAATTATTTAACCCATGATACTGTTAATACATAACATGCAAGAGAAAATAATTCATCGAAACAAAATTATGGTGTGGAGGTGGTGCTTGCGTACAATTCCAGTGCTTCAAACACTGAGGTAAGAAGAGGATAATGAGGGCAGGTAGGTGGCACAGCACCTGCCTGCCAGGTAGGAGGTCCTGAGTTCAATTCCAGGAACCAAAAAAAAAAAAAAAAAGCAGATAAAGAGTTCAAAAGTAGCATGGGTTACATAGCAAGATCTTGCCTCTAAATTTTTTTTTTTTTAAATCTTAGGGAAAAAAGATAAAAAAGTCATAATTTTGTATAAGCTAAGTGAAGTACCTGACATGTTTTAGTAACTTAATAGTTAAAGGTTGAAAACTTTAAAAGGTTTATTGTATTTTGGAACTTCAATGTATTTGTTTGGAATGAAAATGCTTAGAATGAAAAGTTATTATTACACAAACCTGTGCAGAATTCTTCTGGTATATACATACAGACAAAAGTTTTACATGGATTTCATTATTCCTACCTTCTATATATTTAGAGACTTTCTCCAGTCGGACTGGCATGTGAAAGTAAAAATAAAAATTAGATACATAAATATTAATGCATGCATAATAAATTACTAGCTAAATTTAAAAACAGGTGAAAGAGTCTAACCTGAGGTTAAATCAGAACTCCTGCCACCCCTTTTGTCTTCTACAATTTCATAAAATGGACCTATAACATGTAGCAATTCTTCAACTTTCTCAGTCATTGGCATAGTTTCAATAATCTGTAATCAAAAGAAACAAATACTGTGAAATCAAACTATCAAACTATTAATTTGATCTATATCAAAAATCTGCTTCAAATTTATCAATAATTGACAGTTGAAGTTTACTAATATAAAATATTTACATTAATTACATATTTACTATATATATGTTCCTAGAAAAGTTTCAAGTATATTCCAGATCCAGAAATATTTTCATTTTGAAGACTTTTTTTTGTCTTTTTTGAGACAAGGTTTCACTATGCATATTTCAGGCTTGGCTTGAACTCACTTCGGAGCCCAGGATGGCCTCAAACTCAGCAATTCTCCTGCCTCTGCCTCCTGAGTGTTGATACTACAGACATGTACCACCACCCCAATTCAGTTTAAACAGTTTTTTGGGCTTTTTTTTTTTTTTTTTGTCTTTTTCTTTTTATCAGTACCAGGGATCGAACTCACGACCGCACACTTGCAAGGCAGGCCCTTATGCCACTGAGCTAAATCCCCAGCCCCAGTTTAAACAGTTTTTAAATGGCTACTTTGAATCTTTAAAACTCACAGCAGCCCTGGACTTCCTACTTCACTCTTGATTTACTGCCTCTCATCTATAGAATACATAAACTCAGTGAAGAGAGGAGGGGATTGCTTATCTCATTTTGTTCTTCCCATTCTCATTTTTGCAGTGTCCAGCACATAAAAGGCATTTAGTAAACCACCTAGTATATTATTTTTTTAAGTCCATTTTATTTCAAGGAGAAAAACAAAACAAAACATAAAAAAACTAAAACTAAATTTCAAAACACATCAGGGCAACAATGGTACACACATTACACACTGTCATCTCCAAATCATTTACCTGGAGCACAAGATATCTGCATTCAATTTTCCAAACAGTACTAGCACAAATCTTTCTCTTTAGTGAATTCAGAGAAATCAGTAAACTATCTTGGTTTTTTTCATATACATACACAAACACAACACACACACACACAACACATACACTCCCTATGTTGTTTCAGCTTCTCACATGAGTGAGACAACAGGATATTTACACATATCCCTTATTTATTTCACTTATGAATATGGTCTCAAATTGTACCTATTTACCTAAAAAAGCCTCATTTATCATTATTTATAGCTGAATAGTACTCCTTTGTATAAAAATACATTTAGGCTATTTCTAATATCTAGGTATTACAAATTGTGCTGCTACAAACAAGGGAGCACATATATTGCTATGATATAATTCTTTTGGGAAAATACCCAGAAGAGAAATAACTGGGTCAAATGGGATTTCTAGTTCTAGTATTGGTTTTTTGTTTTTTTAGCTTTTTTGGTAACAGGAATTGAACTCATAACCTCATACTTGCCAGCAGGCACTTATACTGCTGAGCTAATTCTCCAGCCCTACAGTCCTAGTTTTTTTGAGGAATGGCCACATTGATTTCTACAGTGGTTGCACCAGTCTGCACTCCCATCAACAATGGAAGATTCTTTTTTTCCCCCACAGCCTCTCCAGCATTTGTTATTTCTTGATTTCTTGAAATTATCCTTTCTTTCTGGGGAGAGGTAGAATCTCAGTATTGTTTTAATTTGCATCTCTTGAATGACCAGTGACATTGAACATTTTTTCACATATTTATTTGCTGTTTGTATTTCTTCATCAGAGAAGTGAACCACTTAGCTTAAAACTTTCATGTTCTCGTTCAAACATGTTTTATTTCTAAAACAGATACAGAATACATCATCAGTCATCTATGATAATTAGCAACTCTGACATGATTCTCAGCTGAGATTATGTCCATCAACACCACCACAGTATCTCATGTCTGTGGAAGGAAAGTCAAGAGAGAGACTATACAGAATGGATTATGCTAACAACTGGTTTGAGTATTATACTTTTAATTTTACAGCTGCTCTTATATAGTACACAGGAATGAAAAAAGGGTTTAGCTTACAAAATTTCTTTTTGCTAAAGGAAATATCTATTAGAAGGCTGGGATCATGGGTCATCCCTGGGAAGATGGCAGATTGATAGGTAGCAGGGTAGAGAGCCTCTCTGAGAAAAACAACTCAGACTCTAGAATTTAACACCATGGAGAAGACCAGACAAAAGGAGGGGAACTCTCACAACCCAGGAAGAAACTGAGGAAAAACAGAAATAAAAAAAAAAAGAAGGAAGGAAAAATGCGGACAAAAGGCTGGAACCAAACGCACTCTCACTGGAGCTGATCCCACGCTATGCAGGACATAATCTTGGAGTCAGATAACTCACGATCCTTCTGAAGTCGTGGTAGCGCCAAAAGCAAGGGTTGGCCAGCCCAAGGCCCTTGGCGGGAGGATACAGCGCAATAGAGAGCAAAACCAATGTGGAGAGCTGCACTAACCCGTGGTTGATTGCTAGGAATTTGGTCTCATGGAGCGGGTGACTGGCTGAACAACCTATTGGAGTTGGGCAGGACAGGCCTGAACTTGAAACCGCAGTGGTATCAGTCAGCCACTCCTGGCCCAAAGCAGGCTGGCAGGCTCTGCTTGGGCTGTGTCACACCACTGGTCAGGACCCAATAGCCAGGGACAAAACTGTCCCGAACCTGTGACATCGGCACAGCAGAGACTAACGTGGTAAAGGCACTTGCTGGTTGACTGGCTCAGAGAAAAGGGGCCAGCCCACATCACCCCTGCATGCACCTCACAGACCAACAGCAAACTAGAGAGGGCAGCAATCCCCTAGCCAGCACGCTTCAGAAAAACTGTAAGCAATATAGAAAGGACCTGAGACCTCCACCATACACCTGTATGAAAGAAACCAGAAATATGACAAGAAACCAAAAAAAGCCTCCAGCCACTGACCCAGGGAAAATAAGTCCAGGAGAGGTAAATACAGAAGAGATCAAGGGCAGCAAACATGCAATATCAGACACAGCATCAGCGGACATAAATACCTTCGTGACCTCATAGATGAACTTAAAATTGAAATTCTAAATCCAGTGAATCAAGATAAAAAAGATTAATAAAAGAAATGCTAAGTACCTCTCAAGAAGACACAGATGGAAGAAGGAAGAACTCAGAAAAAGGAGAGAAACCTTTAATGAAGAATATAAACAAAATCTAGAATACATGAAACAGATCCAAAGAGATTACTAGAAAATTAAAAACTTCATTGAAAGCTGGCAAAATTCCTTGACAGGAACTAAAGTCAGACTTTCAAAACTTGAAGATAGATTTGCAATATGTGATCGTGAACGGAAAGATCTCTTAAAAATAACAAGGAACCAGAAAGTAACAATACAAAGGCTAGAAGTCACGAGGACATATAACTTAAGAATAAAAAATGTGAGTAAAGAAGCAGGAATACTCACAAATGAAATGCAAAGGCTATTCACAGAAATAATTAAGGAAAACTTCCCAAGCATAGGAAAAGGAAATGATATTCACATATATGAAGCATGCAGAACTCCAGCTGCTACAACCAAAACAGATCTACACCCAGACATATAATAATAAGATCCCAGAAATTCATCACAAGAACAGAATATTAAAAGCGATCAGAGAAAAGAAACAGATCACCCATAAAGGAAAACCCATCAAAATCAGGACAGATTTCTTGACACAAACTATCAAATTAAGAAGAGCTTGGAGCTAAGTATTCCAAGCCCTGAAAGAAAACTTGCAAATCAGATTGACATGTCCTGCAAAACTGTCTCTCAAAATTAATGGAGAAACAAGATGTTTCCATAACAAAGAGGAACTATGGGACTTCATGACCACCAATCCAACCCTACAAAAAATAATGAAGACTATGCTAGAAAGAGAGAAAAAAAATCACCATGATTCCAGCAACAGTAGCAGAGAGGCCTCAATGAATGGGGCAGGCAGTAAAATGAGAAAAGCAGACAACCAACCGCAGAAAAATAGCATAGCAGAGATGAGGCAGAGAAGACTGGCTATAATCTCTTAACACAGATGGCCTTGATACACTAACAAAAAGAACCCAGCAGAGTAGATCAGAAGAAGGATCCATCGAGATGCTCTGAATAGGAAATATAATCCACCTGAAAGAGCTTTAATGAACCAAAAGTCAAAAATGAGAAAACAATGCTCTATGTGACAGGGAACCAGAAAGAAATAGGGATAGCTCACCCAGCAGCTGCAGATAGATTGGAAAGTCATGACACTTTTGTGCAGTGGAGAACTACTCAACTATAAGGAAGGAAAACCTTGAGGCTTTAGTAGGTAAAAGAATACAGCTCAAGATCAAACTCAGGGGTAAAAAGGTTCAGCACCACTTATACAGATAGCGGATTACCCCGCTAATCTGAAAACTAAAGGAGTTAGCGAGACCCAAAATGTACAAAGCACACTGAGAAAGGGAAAGGGGAGGAATTGTCTAAAAAAGGAAGACAGAGGACATTGTTAATAGTATATTAGGATTTAAAAGCCACATTAGTCTTATCACTCTATTTAGTTTGATTTTATTCTGTTCCAGTCTGTCTACTCATACTAGATTTGAAGGCACAGACAGCTATCCCCAAAATAGCAAGATGTGCTATGGTAACTATTCTTAATTTCCTATTAACTTAATCTGAAGCCCTGTATTACTCATACTGTCTTACTATGCCTAATCTTGTTTGAATCTGGTTTGTTAGATCTGTTTTGTCTTGACTGATTTTATTCAAATTTGGTATGCTTGATAGTATCAAGTCTAAGAGCAGAAGCAACTACTCTGAAGATGACAAGATGCAATAGGATACCCATTCCGGTTTGATTATTATTGGTTTTGAAGTCCTATAATGTCTCCAATGTTTTGTTTTTATTAATATTGCTTTATAGTGCTATGTTCAATTATATTATGCCTGATCATACAGACAAGTCTATTGAAAATAACTGCATAGTAACTACTGTAGATCACCTAGTATTGTGGTTTTGTACGTCTTTTTCATTTCATGTTTTTCTAGGAATTTGTTTTGTTGTCTTGTTTTGATTTATTTTTCCCTCTAATACAGAAAGAATAGGTATACATG